TTGGTAATTCTAACACTTTGAAGAACCTCCACACTGCTTTCCACAGCAACCATACCACTTTACATTCCTACCAGCAATGTATGAGAATTCCAGTTCCTTCACATCTTCACCAACACTTGTTATTTTTTTTAATATATATATATATATTTATTATAGCCATCCTAATGGGTGTGAAGTGGTATCTCACAGTGGTTTTGATTTGCATTTCCTTGGTGGCAAATGATGTGGAGCTTTCTTCACATGCTTCTTGTTGTTGTTCAGTTGCTAAGTCATGTCCAACTCTGCGACCCCATGGACTATAGCACACCAGGCTCCCCTGTCCTTCACTGTCTCCTACAATTTGTGCAAATTCGTATCCATTGAGTTAGTGATGCTATCTAACCATCTCATCCTCTACCACCCCCTTCTCCTTTTGCCTTCAGTCTTTCCCAGCATCAGGATCTTTTCCAGTGAGTTAGCTTTTCACATCAGGTGGCCAGATTATTGGAGCTTCAGCATCAGTCCTTTCCCTGAATATTCAGGGTTGATTTCCTTTAGGATTGACTGGTTGGATCTCCTTGCAATCCAAGGGACTTTCAAGAGTCCTCCAGCCCCACAGTTCAAAAGCATCAATTCTTTGACATTCAGCTTTCTTAATGGTCCAACTCTCAACGTCCATACGTGACTACTGGAAAAACCATAGCTTTGACTATATGGGCCTTGTCAACAGAGTGATGTCTTTGCTTTTTAATATGCTGTCTAGATTTGTCATAACTTTCCTTCCAAGGAGAAAGCATCTTTTGGCTGCAGTGAATTGGGAGCCCAAGAAAATAAAATCTGTCACTGCTTCCACTTTTTCCCCTTCTATTTGCCACGAAGTGATGGGACTGGGTGCCATGATCTTAGTTTTTTTTTTTTAATTGGAAGATAACTGTTTTATAATATTGTGTTAGTTTCTGCCATATATCAACATGAATTAGCCATAGGTATACCCATGGCTGATCTTAGTGTTTTTATTGTTGAATTTTAAGCCAGTTTATAGGCCATTTGTACAGACTTTTTTAAAAAGCATTAAATTATCCTTGCAAGCCTGAGAAACTTGGTCATGAGGTGTACTTCAAAAGAATTTTATGGTTCAGTGTCCATAATTTTATTAGGATTTTTTCATTTATAAGTGATACTGACCTGTAATTGTCCATCCTGAAACTGTTCTTATTTTGGTATTGATTATATTGACCAATCTCACTTATGAGTTGAGGAGTGTTCCCTTTCATTTTTTCCTTATTGGAATAATTTTTCTGAGCTTTGGGCATTTCTAGTCTTTGAAAGAGCCTATCTTTAAACCTTCTAGGCCTGGTCTTTTAGATGGGTATATTTTAACTGTTGAAATTTCTATCTGTAGTGGACTTTTTATTTTCATGTTTGTTTATGCCATCTCTTAGTCTTATAAAAATTTGGTCCATTTTGTCTTTTCATATAACCTGCTTTTAAGAAAAAATGATAACAAAATGATTAAGAGGAAGAAAAGAAAAAGTCAGCTTTTGATTTGGGGGAATCTTCTCTGGACTTTGTTTTGTCTGGAACTTTCATCCATTTCTGCTCTTTGTTATTTTCTATGTCCTATTACCTTTTTTAAAAACTTCTTTAATAATTAGCACATTATTTTTTAGTCTTTCCTATTTGTTTTTAAGTCTGTAAAGTTCTTTTGAAATACCACTTTAACTGCATCTTACAGAGTTTGACCTTTACCATTTTCACTGTCATCCCATTCTAACTGTTTTAAGATTTTCAGAGGCTTTCATGGTATTCTAGTGATTAAGACTCTGCTCTCTCACCACCTGGGGCCTGGGTTCAATCCCTAGTTGGGAAACTCAGATTCTGCAAGCCATGCACCCACCCATATTTAGAATTTCCAAATATGTTAAGTTGTATTTTTTATATGGATTTCTGACTTAATTGCATGGTAATCCAAGAACATTTTATGGTACCAGTTCTATACTGAGACTTGCTGAATGACCTATTTTGTGATTAGCTTTTATAAATGAACTTTTTAAAAAATTTATTATTTTTAAAATTTATTTGGCTGCCTCAGATCTTAGTTGCCGTACACAAGATCTTTTGCTACTGTGCTTGGGCCCCAAGACATGTGGGATTTAAGTTCCCTGACCAGAGGTTGAACCTGAGTCCCCTGCATTGCAAGGCAGATTCTTAACCACTGGACCACCAGGGAAGTCCCTAAAAAATGAACTCTTAAAGAGAAACTATTGGATGCAGTGATAGAAAATGTGTGTGTGTGTGTGTGTGTGTGTGTGTTAGATTAGGCTGATGTTCAGATTTTCTTCGTCCCTTATATTTGGTGAACTTGATATATCAATGGTTTTAAAATTATATTAAATTTCCCACTATGTGGACTGGTTTGTCAGTATCTCCTTGTAGTTCTGCTAGTATTTGTTTGAAATATTTTTAAGACACCTTGCCCAGATATTTCAGGAGTCCTTACCGAAACAGGCTGTGGTGTGGCTGCAGTTGAACCTTGACTCCTAATTATGAAACCAGTAAATTTAACCATGAGTCTTGTGGCTACCTTCACTTCAGAATGTCTTGTTTATTGAAGTGGAAATTTCTGAATGAGAGACCAAGGTATTGCCTGCTCAGTGAGAAAAAAAAACAAACCCAAAACCCAAATAAACATTTTATTAGGGACACACATTTTTGGAATTGTTCTTTTCTTGAGAATTGTTCTGATTATCATTATGTAGTGATTCTCTTAATCTCTAACAATGCTTTTTACCATAGATTCCATCTAACATTAATATGATACATAATACCAATAATTTCCTTATTAGTCTCTCTGTTACCAGTCTTTCTCTTATAGTTCATTCTTCACATACAATATTCTTTAAAATAGTAAATCTTTTAAAAAAAAAAAAAAGTAAAAATCAGATCATTTGATTCCATATTATTGCCCAGAGGACAAATTCTTCCACATCCTGCTCCTTGCATTCCCCCATCTTTATCTGTAGAAAATGTCCCCCATTCTCTGAGAATATGATTGATTTATGTCTCTGAGTCACTTGCTGTGGCCTTTCTGCTTCCATTCTATTTCTGCTTGTTGAACTCTGCCTCATTGCCAGCTCAGGTGTTAACCTTTGTGCATTTTTGCTGTTTGTCCCCCAATATAGAATTAGTTATGCCTTGTGTGTGTGTCTGTTTCCCTTTTTTTTTTTTTGCCCTCATTTTTTTTTTATGGAAGTAAACTTTTATATTCAATGAAATGCATAGAGCTAGGAGGACAAGTTGATGATTTTGGTAAATGTATACACCTTTATAACCATTACCCCAATCAAGATACAGAATATTTCCTGCAGCCCAGAAAGTTATCTCGTGCCCACTTCTGGTCAGTCCCTGCCAACTGATAGGTAGGTAACCACGACCTGTAGGTAGGTAGGTAATAGGTAACCACTGTTTTGGTTTCTACCACCATAGATTAGTTTGGCCTGTTCTTAAACTTCATGTAAATGAGTGATACAGTACAGACTTGTTTTCTTATTACCCAGACTCATGTCTAACTTCTTTCACTCATTGAACTTCATGTTCTTGAGATTTAATCTCATTTTATATATATCTGTAGTTGATTCTTTTTTATTCCATGATATGAACATATCACAGTGCTTTTATCCAGTCTCCTGTTGATGGATATTTGGATCATTGCTAGTTTGGGGCTATTGTGAGTAAAGCTGCTGTAAACATTCTTTTTTTTTTTTTTTTGGCTGTACTGCACAGCACGTGGGACCTGAGTTCCCTGACTAGGAATCGAACCCATGTCCCTTGCTACAGTGGAAGCATGGTGTCTTAATCACTGGACTGCCAGCGAAGTCATTATGAACATTCTTGAACAAGTTTCTGTGAACATGTTTTCATTCTCCTTAAGCAGGTACCTAGTGGTAGAATGCTCAGTCATGAGGTAAGGAGGTGAATGTTTATAGGAAACTGCCAACAACATTTTGCTTACTCTTTAATAATATTTTTCACAAAAGTTGAATTGATTGGTTTCTGCCTGTCTCTTCTGTAGGGCTGATAGCTCTTCAAAACTGGGACATATCTTACTGTTTGTATTTATACCAGTGCCTAATTCAGTATCTGGTGCATAGTTGGTGCTCCACAAATGTTAAGTAACTATTAGTTCTTTATTTGTATTACTTTTATGGAACTTATCACAGTCTATCTTATGGGTTGTATTCATCTTTCTTCCCTTTTAGGTTGCAAGCTTCTTAATGAGTAGAAATTTGTTTTATTCTTGTTTGTATTTCTCAGATATCTTGTGGCATTGTTTTGAAAATTACTTGTGATGGATAGATGATTGAATAAATAAGCCTGTCATCTAGAAGGTGAAGACCCTGGGCAGAAAACTAAGAGAAGTTTGCTTTCTCTCTCTACTGATTGGGAAGAAGGAGAGAAGGAAAACCAGGCAGAGCTTCTGTTATACCCATTGCTCGAATTTGGGAGGTGTTTGTGCTCACTGGGCCTGTTGGCCCGAGGTGAACCTTTTGTCCTGCCGTGTTCTGTCGTGTTCGCCTCCTTTCCAGTACCAAGGTTGCAGCAGTAAGGGAAGGGTCTTATGTTTCCTTGGTGTGACTGGTCCTAAGGCAGGTTGTGTGGATAGTAGAAAGTTTTTTAATAGCACTGTATTATCCAGTACTTTGGCCACCTGATGCGAAGCGCTGACTCATTTGAAAAGACCCTGATACTGGAAAAGATTGAAGGCAGGAGGAGAAGGGGACGACAGAGGATGAGATGGTTAGATGGCATCACCGACTCAATGGACATGAGTTTGAGTAGACTCTGGGAGTTGATGATGGACAGGGAGGCCTGGGGGGCTGTGAAGAGTCGGAAACAACTGAGCAACTGAACTGACACATTGACATAGAATTAGGTTTTCACTTCACATAAGTGTGTTGCTTATGAAAGAGAGGAAATGGATATAGTATTTGAATATTTGGTATTTTGTTCTTATTTTGCAGTTAAATCCAGATGTGAACGTTTTCCAGAGGAAATTTGTGAATGAAGTTAGAAGATGTGAAGAAATGGACCGAAAGCTTCGTATGTGCATTTTGGTCTTGTCTGACGTTCCTCTAGTGACCCCTTTGTCTTAAATTAGAGTCCTCTTCATAAAGGAAGAAAATACCATGAAAGGAAAAGGAGAGAGGAAGAATCTTGCAGTCTAATGTGAAGATGAATTTCTTATACACAAGTAGATGTGTGGTATTTGGGCTCGGTGGTACTTAATAGAAACTTTGAGATGACAGGACTGCAAGCTGAAAATACTCTTGTTTTGTTTTGTTTTGTTTTGTTTTTTATGAGAAGGGTTTTATGGCAGTGCTACACTGTAGAATTCTGAGAGGTAGGACCTAGAACACCATCAATTTTAGATGGCAGCATGCTGCTGCTGCTGGTAAGTCACTTCAGTCGTGTCCGACTCTGTGCGACCCCACAGATAGCCGCCCACCAGACTCCCCGTCCCGGAGATTCTCCAGGCAAGAACACTGGAGTGGGTTGCCATTTCCTTCTCCAATGCATGAAAGTGAAAAGAAAGTGAAGTCGCTCAGTCATGTCCGGACTCTTAGCGACCCCATGGACTGCAGCCTACAAGGCTCCTCCATCCATGGGATTTGCCAGGCAAGAGTACTGGAGTGAGTTGCCAGATGGCAGCATAGCCAGCTTTAAATTGTCTATTTATGCGGGAAGAACCTAACATTTATTGAGATACTATTGAGAGTTAGGGTGTTCATACACTTTATTTTGTTCATTCCTCACAACATTCCTTCAAGATGAGTATCAGTTTCCTTATTTAAATAAATGTGGAAGCTAAAGATCAGAGAGGTTAAGTGACATGCCCAAGAATACACATGGTCACGATGGGATCAGTGTTTAAATCCAGGTTGTCTGCCTCCAAAACCCAAGATCTTGCTGCTATATGATGCCAACTTAGGTGAATTTAGTTAGTTAGGTGAATTTAGTGTCTGTGCTGAAAAACAAGTCAGTAGTTATCACCTGAAAACACACTTTTCTCCTGTTTTGGGGGCCTTTTCTGTGCTTTGTTTCTTGTTTTGTTTAACTCAGAACTGACCTATTTTCAAATTTAACGAAACCCTTGTAGGTTGGAGTTGTCTCACTAGTGTGCTGAATGTCAAATATTCTACTGAGTAACACTGTACTGTAGTTCTCCTCTGCACCAATATCTGTGACCAGAGCCGCCATACAGGGTTGAGAGCTGACACAGAACCAGTCTTAAGATCAGAAGAGGGAAAGAAGACAGTAGTGGACTGATAAACCTTTTGCAGGAACTGTGCTTTAGAGAATGTGGGGTAGGAGGAAGAGGAATGTGAAGAAAAAAGGATTTACAAGTTCTGCTTCTTTTATATGAAAAGTGTCTTTCTTAGAATGAAGCTCTTCTTAGCCAGGTTTGGGATCTTATTATTTTTTTCCTCAGATATTGGCAGTTCCAGACATGTGGAGCTAGGCATGAATGTTTTGATTCTGTCATTCTAGGATTTGTTGAGAAAGAGATAAGGAAAGCTAACATCCCAATTATGGACACTGGTGAAAACCCAGAGGTGCCCTTCCCCCGGGACATGATTGACTTAGAGGTAAATAATTCTTCTGAGGAAGCCAGATAAGTTTCTTTCTACTTAAGGGCAGAAATTACTTTCCTAAGTAGATGGAATGTAGAATAATTCTTGCTGTCCTTGTCTGTTGATTGCAAGTTTCTTGTGGATGGGATTAAAATGAATTTCCTTTTTTATGGTATAAAAATCACTGTGGTATTAATATCTCCAATACTGTCACATACCACTAAATTAATGTTTATTGGCTTGTTGAAACTTTATTGTATTAATGTTAATTTATCTAGTAGTTTATTAATAATCTCATAAACTGAATAGCCAATAGACTTTTCAATCATTATTTTATCTAAAGTCCGCTGAGGGATATAACCAAGTATATAACAGAATCTATAGACAAAGAGAGACTATTTTAAGCAAAAGAAAAACTTTCATAAAGAAAATTGCCGTGGTAAAAACACAGTACAGTCATCCCTCAGTAACCAGGGAAGATTAGTTCCAGCTCTTCCCTCGATATCAAAATCTGCTGGTGTTCAAGACCCTTGTATAAAATGACTGTAGTATTTGCATATAACCTATGCTCATCCTCCCGTATACTGTAAATCCTCTCTGGATTACTTATAGTACCTACTACAATGTAAATGCTATTGTAAATACAGTTATCATTGTATACAATTAATCATTATAAATACAATGTAGATCACAGGTAAAGTAGTTGCTAGTGAGCAACAGATTCAAGTTTTGCTTTTTGGAACTTTCTGGAAAATGTTTCTCCCCAAATATTCTTGAACTATGGTTAACTAACCATAACTAACCATAACTATGATTAACTAAACAATCTGCAGATATGGAACCAAAGAATACACAGGGCCAGATGTATTGCCGGGTAGATATGAAGATACCTTTGAACATTCGGTGTGGCCAGCATTCTGTGGGATGGATTATTTCATCTGTCTTTTAGAGCAAGCATTTTGAGCTTAGTGTGAGTTAATAGTTTGGTTGTTTTTTTGTTTGTTTTGTTTTTCTATAGGCTAATTTTGAGAAGATTGAAAATGAACTGAAGGAAATCAACACAAACCAGGAAGCTCTGAAGAGAAATTTCCTGGAACTAACTGAATTAAAATTTATACTTCGCAAAACTCAGCAGTTTTTTGATGAGGTCAGACTACTGTTTCTGTTAGTATTTAAGCAGCTGATACTATACCAGGACTAATGGGCCATATTTTTATTCCAATAATTATTTTAATTTGCTAGTTTGGAAACAATACCATTTCTGCACCCTGTTTTAGTTGAAGAAATGTCAGATTCTGTTCCATTTTCCATGCAGTACACAGCCAGCCATGGTTTTGTATATTTTTGCATTTTTCAGCAGTTTTTCATCTCAAGATGAGGAAAGGAACCCTAAAGTAGTTGTATAAACATAGATGAAATTTTACATATGAAGGTAAGTATATGTTTGAAGTTGAAGCAGCAGGAAAAAGTTATACATGAAATTGAAACAAAATTTAATCTCCAAACCTCTTGTCATTAAATTTTAACTTGTATCCTCTATGGTTGCTTGTCAACCTTTGAGCATATTTTTAAGTACTCCAGATGGCAAGCACACTTAATTTGAGAGCTGTTTTTTATGTTGTATGGAAAATTGGTAGGATACCTGTTTGAAATTCCTGGATTTTCCTCTAAACTCAACTTCAGTACCTTGTAGGTGCAAAATGTTAATAATAAATTCCTGGGTTAAAAATGTAGGTGACTCAGTTGCCAGGGGACAGCTTGCTGAAGTGACCCCACCACAAGGATTTGGAACAAGGCTCTCAAAAGGCTTCCTTCTTCCAATTAAAGCTGGGGAGTAGTGTGGACATGCTTTTTCTGATGGCCTAAAATATGGGTAACTCTTCTTTTTTATAGGTTTCTTTGCCAACCCATTAGCTGCATCATACATTTCATAGATTGTTCCAGTCACTATTCAATATGCTTTCCCATAAGTTCTTTTTTAAAAAAAAATATTTCAGCCACACCTTGCAGCATGTTCCTTGACCAAAGATTAAATTCATGCCTCCTGCAGTAGAAGCACTGCACAGAGTCTTAACCACTGGACCACCAGGGAGACCACCCCATTAAGTTCTTTATTTCCTTTGCTCAACAAAAATTAGCAAAGTTTTTAAAAAACAAAAGGCCTACTTTAGTTAGTATCTGATAAGTCCTCAGTTTCACTTTTAATTTCTGTGTTTTGAAGAAAAAATAACTCTCCCTAGTTCTCTAGCCTGGAGCAGGGGTTTGCCAACTAACAACATCAGCCTCACCTGGGGACTTGTCAGAATGCCAGTTCTCAGTCCTCACTCCAGACTCACTGAATCAGACACCCTGAGGGTGGGGCCCAGTGATCCGTTTTCACAAGGTGATTTTGAAGCATGCTAGTGTGAGAACCACATGGGGCTGGAGAAAGTCAACTGAAGACTGATACATTCCTTAGTAAATGAAGATCCGACTCAGAGAAACCATGCTAATTAACAAGATCTACTGGAGCCAGGGAAAGGGGGAAAAGTTCCTAGGAATTAAATTGCCTGGTCCTCCTGAGAATCAGGGTCTGGCTACATATCAGGAGAGAATTGGTGCGAATATTCAGTTTGCTCACTGAGTTGAGAATTTTGAGACTGACGGTAGCTTCTTTTACCAGTCCCCAATATCATCACATTAAAGGATGTGGGACAGTGTAATTAACTCTTTCCAAGTGTTTCAGGTCTTTTGCAACGGGCATGGTCACTTATGTCAAGTAGTTTTTGATGAACAAATAATCTGGAATTCCAGTATACTCACTGCCTAAACATTATTATTATTTAATAACATTAAATAATAATATAGTATTATATTTGATAATAGTAATACAACATTATTATTGTTGGATCATTTGAAGAGCACTTGCTCTTTGTGAGACATCAGCTGGGTGAGACATGGTCTCTGTGTTCAAGGGCTATATCACTTAGTCATGTCTGGAACCATCCATAAACACAGTGACTCCCTAGGCTCACATATGGTGTGGTTTTTATACGTGTCCAAGCTGCTGCCCACAGATCCAAAGTAAACCCGGCCTCAAGATCAAAGCTCAGTTACTTTTATCATTACTGGATACTTAGTTCTTTTACCCTCTACCTGCCTTTTTCCCCCTTTTGATATAGCCTTTAGTTTACTGCTGGGATATTGATGAGATACATGAGAATGTTTTTCATATTCTCCTGAGTTTTAAGGATTGGGATAGACTTCCTAGTCTAGTTCATTCTGGTAGAAATTCTGAAAAAAAGACTGACAAATGGACTCCCTTAAGGAAAATAGTTTTTTAAACTCTTCATTTTATAATACAAAAAAAAACCCACCACAGTAATAGTAAAAACAAAATAAGCAGAATCACTTGGAAAGATGATATAAGATTTTAAAATTGTTTCTGTGGGTTTAGGAATTTTCTTTGTGGTTAATAGGTGTAAACATGAAATGCCCATCTTTAGAAGTCAGGCATGACCTTCACACCCTCTCCATTTTGCATCGTTTTCCCCCTCCTATTCATGCAAAGCATTTTTTTGAGCTTGAGGCCTTGGCTGTGAGAGGCTCTTCTGCTGCAATCGTCATCAGTCCCTCTATTTCCAGTGGCAGGAACCCCTCCTTTCCTCTCCTAGTGCACAGTCAGCATCTTATCCACTTTGGCCATTAGATCATAGCCTCAGCCAGGTCCCTTTCAATAGCCCCTGCCCTGCTGAGGCCAGACAGCAGTCTCAGGTGTCGCTGCCAGGACAGGAGACAGAGCCTCACAGAGTTCAACACATCTGCACCTGCGAGTGCACGCTTCACATGATGCAAAAGATCAGGAGACTTGGGACCTCAAGTCTCAGAAATGTAGACTTTTCATGAGCCTTTCTTCCATGCCTGAGATTATAATGTTTGCCAATGGCCTGAAACACTACCTATTTTAAACCCTTCTTTTGAATATAATTTGGTGAATATGATCAGTAATTTACAATAATGAGTTAGCAGAAAATGACTAAATCAGAAAATGATTTGCTGCATCTCCAGGCATAGGGGTTATGATTGGCTAGGTGTGGAGAAGGGGAGAGGTAAACACATATTGAATAGTCTTATGATTTATGATGATTACAAATTCAACTTAGCCATTTCTTATCCAGAGCATTTTAAATGACTTGTTAATGATTATCCTTTTCTCAGTCTTCTTGCTTATGAAGAACTGTAAGAGCTGGAGAGATTTCTCTGCATCTTTTACCATAAGCACCATAACATATGAGAGCATAAAGAAGACTGGAAAAGTAATGGTTAATGGCATGCAGAGCCCTGCCTTCCTTTCCTTCTGACTTTTCATCCATCTGCTTTCTTTACTTTTCTTTCCCATCTGCCATCTCCTTTGGGGCTTGCGTGAATACCTCGGGTGATGAAATGTAATTTCTTTCTCATGTCGATGGAAAGAAAAGTGTTTGCTCTTGGTCATGTAGCTTGAACTGGATGTGCTGCTTATACTGAAGTGTAGAAATAGAACTATTGAGGTTGTGCTACTTCCTCTTTCAAGGCATGGTTTTAGTATTCTGACTGGGGGAAGGGGTAAACCAGAGGGCATAGCAAGTAATGTAGAAGAACCTTGGTAGTACTTTTATGAGAGAACCCAGATTAAGATTGAGATACTTGATGACATGGTTTTAGATATTGCTTTAAAGACCCTCAGTTAGTGGTTCTGGACAGTTTCTCATCAGGCACAATTATTTCATTTGAAGGATTCTTAAGTTTGAAATGGTGTAATTATTAATTAGAATATTACTGTAAATTTGTATTTGATTTTAATTCTGTTTTCTTTTTTCGTATTCCCAGAGATTCTAGATGGAGCCTCCTCCTTTAGAGGAGCACTATTTGCTTTTCCATCAGTTCTCCCCTTTAGAGCCCATATATTTGCACTGAGCTTTACCTTTATGGTTTACTTAAACCAGGCATTGTGAACCATGCAGACTTGTGAGTAGTGGTCAGTTTCACCGGTTTTTGCTAAGGGACATCCTAAAAGCAAGATGAAATGCTGTAGTTACTCTGGATCCTCAAAGCAACTTGCCTGTGGTTTGTAGTCAGTGGATTTGATTTTAAGTAGAAACAAGAATTGCTCACTTGAGAACAAGTGCTAACCCATGCCCTCATTATCTCATTTTAAGGTTTCCCAAATCTCATGGTGGTATTTCTCTGCACTTCTGGTGTGCCCACTGCCTATCCTTCCTTTTTTTTTTTAAAAGATAAATTTATTTCTTTTTTCTTTTGGTCATTGAGAGTTGATCCTGCTTCTAGAATTTACTCCCCGAACAATTGCTTTCACTTGTTTAGACTTTCAGACTTATCTGATTTATACTCAGTTCCCCACCCCAACCCTGTGACTTTACATTTATAGTCCTGTGACTATCAAGACGGGATACCCTGTGGCATTTTTTTTTTTTTTACAGCAGGGTTGATAAGAGTAGAATCAAATTGAAATTTGGAGTGAATATGATGAGAAAAATTCTCCTGACTTCATTTTTATTTAGTTCTGCTTTTGAAAAGGAAGATTCCTCTGGCTCACTTCTAGTCTTTGGTCAAACAGGTAGGGCATGGATATTGCAGCTGGGGAGATGAGGCAGTGGAATGGTCAGTTGGCCTTCATTTCTTAGGGCAGCTCCTCCTTCCTGCTGAGAGGAAACAAGGCGAGATGTATTGTGGAGAGAGAGGCTGAGAGGAAACGGGGCAAGAAGTGTTGTGTAGAGAAAGGCTGAGAAATGTAGGTCTGCATCTGAGAAGGCCCCGCTCCTCCATTTTATTGTATAAACTGTCGTGGTGGAAATCATTTTAAATCTCAACAATCCAACTAGTCCACATGTTCTGAATTGGCTTATTACCTGTTACTTTTTCTTCACTTGATTTAGATTGTTGGCTTAAGCTATGTTCTCAAGAATCCTTAAGCTGTAAAGCCCACAGGAACTTTTTACTATTCTGGATTCCTGGTCAGAAACTAGGACATTCAGGTATGTTTTCACTTTTCCTTCCCTTTATTGATGCAGTGGAGGCCCATGCCTGCCCAGCTATTGTGTTTCTTACGTTTTTGGACAAAGAATACTCTTTAAATCCCACGGTTTGGAGCATTTTTTTTTTCCTTTTAAATAGTGGGTGTGCTGAAAGCCCTCAGGTTTTGACTTTTTAAGGGCATGGAAAACCTAGACGTCTGGAGACACCCCTTCTATCTTTCTCCTGTTCAGGACAGTGACAGCTCCTTGCTTTTCTTCCTGGGAAAGAGAGTCTCCATCTTTTACATTCTCACACAGGGAAAATTCTAATTTGTAGCTGCCTGGAAATTTGATACTGAATGTATCTGTTGAGCTGCCTTGTTTTTGCTCAAAAGGAAGAAATACTTCCGCTTCTATGCATATGCAAAAATATTTTTGGTACTTTCATGGCTTATTCAGGAAAACATAAGAGAAAAAATGGTTTCCACCAAGTCACAGGTTTATACGGGTGTCACTGTCATTTAACGTCTTTTTCTTTATTCCTTATTTCTAAAACCATTTCCCCAGATGCTTCACTGGGGCAGTTCTGCTTCCTTTACCTCTTGTTTCTTTTCTTTGTTTCTTCCCCTATTCTTCTTGTCTTCTTTTTGTGGGTATGTCTTCTCTTTTGGTGGTTTTCTTTTTTTCATCTTTATTTTCTGAACTTATCTCCTGGTTCCTCGTTCCCTGCATGCCACTAACTATTTTCATTAGATATTAATTGATTTGTGAATTCAGGCTGAATTGCATCATCAGCAGATGGCGGATCCAGACCTGTTGGAAGAGTCCTCGTCCCTCTTGGAGCCAAGCGAGATGGGAAGAGGCACGCCCTTAAGACTTGGGTAAGTACCACTTCGACCCTCTGTACTCAACAGAGTCATGTCCATTTTTGCTGTTCAGAAGAGCACTCAGGCTGAGCATTCACTGGCTTCCAGGATGCCCTCTCTTCTGAGCCTGTTGCAAGGTGTTGCTAACTTACTTTGGGTTCAGTTCCTGAGTTGTTTTGTCAACCCTCTGCTGAGTCCGGGAATCAGACTTTGGCAGCCATTTTGACATAGCAATGCACAGCCTCCTGTTTGACGTCTTTCCCCTCCCCTGCTCTTCACTTTCCTCCCATCCTGTGGTGTGGAACCGTTCCCAATCTGACTCTTCTCCCCACAGCTTCGTGGCTGGTGTGATTAACCGGGAGCGCATCCCTACTTTTGAGCGCATGCTTTGGCGGGTGTGCCGGGGGAATGTGTTCCTGCGGCAGGCTGAGATCGAGAACCCCCTGGAGGATCCTGTGACTGTAAGACAAGGGAATTGCGTCTGGTGGAGTAGGTCTGGTACAGGGAGCTCAGAGCAGTAACATAGCATGTGCCACCTGAACCTGACCCTCCCAAGAGGAGCCCTTACATTTACTCCATTTGGATCTGTGAATTTGAGGGACTCCTCTTTTCCTCTTCACCTCCATCGTATGTATACATACAAGGTATACATGATGTGTGGGATCTTAGTTCCCCTACCAGGGATCAAACCCAGGCTACAGCAGTGAAAGTGCTGAGTCCTAACCTCTGAACTGCCAGGGAATTCCCTCGAGTTATTTCAGCTTTATGTGTTTTCCGGTACTTACCTGGGACCAAAAAAACATTAACTCTTTAATGAAAATTAAAGCAAGACATCTGGTTCCAAGTTTGGTAACATCCATGTGTACAAGGAAGAGAGATTTCCCAAACTGTGGTCTTCATAAGTTGATGAAACTTTAATTGATAAAGTTTTCTGTCTATTTGTTTGTTGGGAATTTTAGGAACTTAGTTTTAAGATTTATGTTGTGCAAGATAGGATGATATTCCCCACCCAGTGCTTTGGAAAGCAGGAATAACTTAACATCTTGGCATTTGACATAACAGGACAGAGTTCTTAGCATAAACCTACATTTATATGATGAGTCCATCCAGAGATGACAGGCAAAGATGATTAACTGTTCTGCAAGCAATTTACTTCACTTTGGTATTAGTATTATTTAGAAGCCTGGAGTGGTTATTATGTTCTCAGTTATCTTTTGGGTGTCTTAAATTAGTATATATTTTTTTTAAACCTAAGAAGAGAGGTTGAATTATGAGGCTTCTCAGAGTAGCTGGGTCCTTCAGCTAGAAGTAAATGAATCATGTCCTTGGAACGAGTAGGAGGGTGGTGATACTTAGGTTACGGTGAGACCCCTTACCCAAAGTACCAATTTTGTAGTCTCACTGAAGGCTGTCCTTGGGTCATGGAAACACCACAGTCAGCAGTTACACCTCATGTGGAGCTATTCTCAGGAATATTCAGCCAGGTTCCTGGGCAACAGAAGCATTATTTTTTTTATCAACGAGTGGAGTAAAGGGAGGGTCTGGCTCTCTCTAATACAGCAGCTGCACAAAAAATGTGCTCCAGTTAATTCCTGGAGAACTTAGGAATTTAAGACCCATGAGCCTTACTTACTCCTTCCCTCCTCTTCCCTCTTTATCCTCCACAGTTTTGTTTGTTTTCCTGTTATAAAAGCTCTGTAGGAACTGGAGAAAATACAGGCCACCAGAGACAGTCCTAACTCTAACACCCACTGTAGAGTCTTTTTCTGATCTTTCCTACTAACCTTTGCCTCAAGGCTTCAGGTATACACTTGGTATTTGGATAGATTGCCTTCCTCCCTGCCCCCTGAGGTCTAATTCAGCATGAATCATGAGATTGTGCATCAACATTTCTCCCTAGCTGCTCAACTCCTTGTAGTTATTCAGTCCCCTTTAGCTGGAGTTTCTGAGCATGCGAGCAGGCAGGCATGACTTCCTTTCCTCTTCTCTGTACTTGAGTCATTTAGGCAATATAAGAATTATTCAGTTTGAATAGTTGAATTGGTAGGTAGGGCTAAATTCTGCTAAGAAGAGAATCATCTTTGCATCTGTGTCAAGCTCCTTGTTGAGTTTAAAAACAAGTATGGAAAGATTATTGAGATTATAGAGCATATGTTCTTGTGGAGCTTAAGAGATGGATTGAAGATAATGGTTAAAGTACATGGTTGCCAGACCCTTAAAGGATTCCAGTTGTTTCTATGTCACCAAGAAAGAAAGGTGCTTAAGAAGTTTTCTGGATTGTAAGTCTGAATTCTTGGTTTTTGGTTTGGGGCCTAGGGAGACTACGTGCACAAGTCTGTGTTCATCATTTTCTTCCAAGGTGATCAGCTGAAAAACAGAGTCAAGAAAATCTGTGAAGGGTAAGAGAAACATGCCTCCCCCCAGGGTGCAGCCAGGCCACCTGTTAAGCCTGTAGAATAGTGACACAAAAGCCCTGTAAGTCCACCTTAAATGGGGAATATATTTTTTAATAATGTTAAGGTTATCTTAAACGATCAGAAATGGCCTAAGTATTTTTTTTTAATAGACCGTCAAAATCACAATTTCCTTTTCTTGGGAAAAGTAATTAGGACTCATGGTTTATAAATTCTACATTGTTTTGGGACAATGGGTTTGCATACCTAGCAGTGTACCGTAGGCACTGTGCCCTTAAGCTTTTCTGAAATTCTGCCCATGAGATCCTTTCTCCACACTGTTTTTCTCCAGCACTTTATAATGGAATTTGTAATCACTGCTTCTTTCTTTTTTAATCTAGAGGCACTTAATAGCGACAGAGAATGCCAAGGCAGTTCAAATGTTGCTTGATGCTCTACTGTAGGCCCCTTCCCATAAATAAGTATTATGGATTAGTGCATCAGTCTGAACTAACCCTGTTTTGGTCCTTCCAGTATGTTGGGATTATGTTCTGAGATTACTTAAACTGGCTCCGTGAAGCAATGTCAGTGTTCCTCAGGCTGTGTCTGCACATTCCAGGTTCCGGGCCTCACTTTATCCCTGTCCTGAGACGCCGCAGGAGAGAAAGGAGATGGCTTCTGGAGTTAATACCAGGATTGACGATCTCCAAATGGTACATAGAGACCTGGAGGGAGTTTGTCTTTCTGAAATACTGCTATAGAAGACCTTACTTCTTCCTTGAAGCACTAACAGTTTATTAGGCACTTACAGCAGCCCAGGATACATTTTTTTTTTTTTGATACATTTGTTTTTTTGTGTGTGTGCTATTTTTAAGTCATTCCCTGAAACTCTTCCCCATCTCCCACAGGGAATGATTTAAAAATGGCATGAATTATCTTCAAATGAGACAGAGACAGAGACAGCACCTGAAATCGTTGTTGGCTTAGAATATTCAGTTCCCCAGCTCATGAGTCTGAGATACATTTATAATGAATGAAGTATGAGGTATGAATAATGAAGTATGCTTGGTTAAGAAAAAAATCAAATAATGTAGAAGTACATATCAAATCAATTCTGCCTCTCACAGACATGCTCTACCTCCAGAGGCAGCCACTCTTAATAGCTTGGTGTGTGTCCTCCTGGTCACCTTGAATCTGAACCATACAGTCTAGCCAGAGTCCTGGTGTAACTCTTGTACCCAGGAAGGAACTTTTTCCCAGTTGCAGTGTGTGTAGTTTGCACACATGATGGCTGTCACAGAGTTCTAAAGAGGGAGTCATGATTTATACATACATGGAAGGAAAAGGGTGCCCAGCTGGAGCTTGGTTCCCTGTTGAAAGAATGTAATGATTGCCACCTTGAAACATTAAGAAACATGTTTGACGTGTTGAAGCATTTCAACCCCTGTTGTGTATGACCTACCACTTGACCTGCTGCTGGCTCCTGTTAGCTGCACTTATCAGTTTAACCAAGGGAAGAGAGTTTTCTTTGAACTGCTGATGGGTGATGAGCCATGTTAGTACATTCTGGCTTCTAGAACTGTTCTACCCCCTCCTTATGAGTAGGCTTGCAGTAGACTGTGAAGAACATGTGCAGTAGCCTTTATAAATGGCTAGAATTTGACTTTTAAAGCACCAAACTGTATGAAGTAAAATTTTAATGAATTAATTTTTTGAAGTAAAATTTTTAAAGGGATTGAATATCAATTAGTGAGACGTAGGGGTGGGAGCAAGTTTATTAGCATCCTTCCAGAAGTTTAAATAGTCATTATGAAATTGTCAACAACCAGGAAAGAAAGTATCCTTGTTCCTTTATTTTCAAGTGAATAAGAGTTTCCCTAGCATGCCATGGGTTTTTTTTTTTTTTAAAACCTCTCATGGAAGTTACTTTCTACTGCCCAAGACAGTTTCTCAGGGAGCAGTCATGACTTGGAGCAGTCATGACCTTTTCCTTAACTGACTTGAAGAGCCAGCTGTGATGGAGTACTTGTGCTAAAATGATTAATATATAGTTTTTTCCTCTTCAAAAAGACGTTGAGATTTCAGATAGAGTCTTAGGCACAAATGAATGGTGAGTTGCTTGCCTAATTTTGGCTTCTCCCCTCTCCTGCTATAGACCTGTTAAATATTTGGTGATAAACAAGACAGTAGAATGTAAAGTGTCCCTGGCCCTTCTCCCACCTCTGGTGGAGGCAGTATTATTCCTCCGAGGTAACTATTTGCTGACTTCCAAGGGATCGGGCTTCCTGAGGAGAAAACAAAGCCTGACAGAAAAATCAAGCCTTATCTGCTCTGTGATGACTGTGGTATGTGGCAGTCTAAATCCTCTCCAGAGGCCATGAGTCTCCTGTCTCCTTCCCCTGCATGGAGTCTCTAAGAAGCAGATGATGGTGGTCAGCAGCATCTCTTTTCCACCACTCCTCAATGCTGGCTGACGTTCAGGGGGGTTCTGCGGCCTGCTGTTCATAAGCAGGGATGTGACAACTCAGTCCCTTACTGGGCCTCTGACACTGACTTCTTCAAGTCAGAGTTACAGGCTCCATATGGAAAATCATTGCTCTTTAATAAACCAGATAAAAACCAGTGACCTGCGTTGTTCTGCCATGGATTTGGTGGTAAAATTTAGAAAAGCTAAAAACCATTTCCTCAGGTTTCTCTTTAGCTTGAAGGTAAGTGAATATGAATATTAGTAAGTAAAACTCTTAATTTCTTTCAATTTGGCAAAAAAAAAAAAAAAACTTCTAGCCAGAGGAAGAAAAAAAAAACAGATCCCTGCACCCCTTCTCAGAAAGCTACTCCTTTTTGCCTTCATGTCCTGAAATGAAAGAAGGGTGTTAGAAGGATCGCTGTCCTGCTCCTTTCTCTCCCCAAAGGTTCTGAACCAAACAGAGGATCACCGCCAGAGGGTTCTTCAGGCCGCTGCCAAGAATATTCGTGTCTGGTTCATCAAGGTGCGGAAGATGAAGGCCATCTACCACACTTTGAACCAGTGCAACATAGATGTGACCCAGAAGTGCCTAATTGCGGAGGTCTGGTGCCCTGTCACTGACCTTGACTCCATCCAGTTTGCGCTCAGAAGAGGCACGGTGAGTCCCCCACAGCTGGCGGTGCAGCCTTCAGCCAGGAAGAGAGGTTTCCATCAGTGGTAACAGGAATCAGTTACATTCTCATGGCATTTTTGTCTCAGAGTTCTTCAGTTTACCCATCTTGTACTCACCTTGCATCCTGACAGAACATCTCATATATCCTTATTTTCAAATGTAGCAATTGTAATTCAGAAAAGATTAAGTGATTTGATCATATCCCCATGATCCTTCAGAGTTACACTCAGAACATCAGTTTCCTGGTCCATTCTCTCTGTCTGTTAGTCTCGGTACATAGTATAACCCTTGCAGTTCCCTTTAGTAGTTAGTTAGAGCTACTGCCCTGTCCAAGTCTCTGATCTAGGGGCCAGGAGGTACAGAGATGTAAAAAGTAGGCCCTCAAGTATCTTCTGACTTGAAGAGGCTGATGTACAAACATACAGAACAGTCTGTGCCAAGAGCAGTTTGTGTGTGGAGGGAAGGAAGGTGCTAGCTTGGCCAGCGAGGATGATCAGAAGCAGCTTCAGGAAGGTGGCATTTACTCAGTGCTTTGAAGACTGGATGAGATGTCTGTTGGCAATAACAAGAAGTAAACAGTCTGGCCAAAGGCAGGTATAATATGACCATGCATGGTTGGGCCAGAACAGGAATTGTAACAGGTGAGCTGAAAGAGCAGGAGGTAAACCTGAGTCAGGGAGTTAGGAACCTGATTATGAAGAGTCATTAATACCAGATGGGTGGGTTTAAATTTTATCCTAGAGGGAGTAGAGGGACACTGGAAGTTACTCAGCACTGAAAGGACATGATGATCAAAACAGTTTTAAGAGAATAATCCAGGGACTTTCCTGACAGTTCAGTAGTTAAGATTCCACGCTTCCACTCCAGGGGGTACAGGTTGGATCCCTGGTCAGGGAACTAAGATCTCATATGCTACATGCTGCATGACTCAGTCAATCAGTATTAATCAATTAAATAAAAGAGTAATCCATTGATAGCATGGGGGTTGGATTGGGGAGCTGAGAGAGCCTACAAGTGGGAGGACAGTTAGGTTGTTGTAACAGTGGTAAGTGATAATGACCTTGCAGTAAGACCTGGTAATGGGAAGAGCAAATAATGATGAATTTGTGAGACATTCTGAAGGAAGTATCCTTTGATAGGCTTGGTATTTAGCAACGTACAGGAGAAATACAAGGAGAAAAAATTTAAAATGTTTCTGAGGCATCGAAGCTGGGTGACTGATAGAATAATAGTTCCATTAATGGAAGTAGAGATTCAGTAAGAGAAACTTATTGATTGGAGAAAGCTGCTAAGCTCAGTTTTAGTCACATTGAGGGGTTGGACAGAAATCCATGTGGAAATGTAAAACCGACGATGAGATAGTTCTCAAAAGAAAGGGGAAAATGCCTCTATTTGACAGGCCTGGAGTAGTTACTCTCTGCTAAGGTTTCCACTACATACAGATGCAAGAAAAATATATCCTCGAGCTTTCTGTGTGTCTCGCTGTGGCAGCCCAGATTGAATGGGAGAATACATGGGAAGATTTTTGCACCTCTCAAATAACCTTGTGAACAGTAAAAGCCTGCTTTACTCAAAAAAAAAAAAGGCAAAATGAAAGAAATGGGATACATGAGGTTGGAAGGGAATGAAACCTCCAAGAGAGAAAATAAGGAGTTAATAATAGAACCTTGGGGGCCTGCAGTGTTACAGGCAGGGGAGGAGGAACCAGCAAAGAGACAGGAAAGGCATGGCTGGTAAACAGAAGAGGAAGCTTGCCAGTGTCAGGGGCTTGCATGTAAGAGAAAAGATCTTTGGATCTGGTGATGAGCCAGCCACTTTGACCAGGCATGGTCTGCTTACTCCAAGGATTATTAGAGAGTTAAGAGTAGGTGGTGAAGAGGGGAAAAGTCAGAAAATAACTTTGCTTTCTTCATAAAAGCAGGAGAGAACAATGACACTTGTGGACAGATAAGGATATCTTCAGGGAAGAAAGGACCACATTTTCTTTGTTTATACATTTTAGACTTAATTTTTTTGTTTCATGGTAAGGATATTCTTCCCAAGACTTCATTTACACGTGTCATCATAAATTTTATAGCTAGTTCTAGTGTCCTCAAAGACTGGAAAGATCGAGATATAATTTACCTGAAAGAAAACACACATTTTATGTGTACTATTCAATGAGTTTTAGCAAATAGATATGCCTGTGAATCCACCACCATATTCAGAAGGGTGACCTGATTCTTATCTGTGCTTGATGTTTCCCAGGAGCACAGTGGTTCCACCGTGCCCTCCATTCTGAACAGGATGCAGACAAACCAGACTCCCCCCACCTATAACAAGACCAACAAGTTCACGTATGGTTTTCAGAACATAGTGGATGCTTATGGAATTGGAACTTACCGAGAGATAAATCCAGGTAAAAAACTTGAATCTTTTCCCTCTGGAGATTTTATTCTGTTTGTTATTTCTTTTAATGCTTCACTTTGAATACAGTTGAACAACTGGCTCAAGACTGAAGATGCTGTCCAGGCCTCAGCTCTTGTAGAATTCCTGTGAAGAGGTGCCTATCTGGGTGTAAGGAGTGAGGTTTATTGCCAGGTGGAACTCCTTTAGCAGGCAGTTTTATAGGCATGAGCTCCATAGATTGGGTTCCTCTGTCCTCACGGCTGTATAGCACTTGGCTTTCACTCACATGCCATTTTCTGGAACTGCTTTAAGTAAAAAGTTTTCCCAAGGTCTTTAACATTTTAGAATAGCTTCCTGGTTCCAGGTTAGGTAGAGAAAATATAGCAGTTGTTGACCATTTTAAGCCCAAGGCAGATTTCTCCTCTGTTCAGAGAGTTAGTGATTAAATCTAGAGTCAGGTAGTTCATGTTCAGTGGGAGTCTTCTGCGGGACCTGCTCTGCTCCAGATTCTGAACTTTCTCCCACTTAACCTGGTGGCTTTATTCAGCTGGTTGCAGTGCACAGGGGAGGAAAGTTGGCCTGTCCCAGGAGCAGCGTCCCAGGGGTGAGAGAGAAGGAATCAAGGGACAAACCCCCCTGGTGCCAAAACCTTCATTTCTGTGTGATTCTTTGTTGAAAATGCAGGTGGTAGTTTTGTGAGTCTGTGCAAATCCTACTGTGGACATTATTTCCTGGGAGCCCCTCTGACTAGAAGCTTAGGAATGAGTCCCTTTTATGCTGATCTTAGATTATGTGGAGGGATGTGATGTGTTGGGAGCTGTGGTTTTCTGAAATTTGTCTTTTTCTCTCTGGTCTCTTTATAGCTCCATACACCATCATCACTTTCCCTTTCCTGTTTGCTGTGATGTTTGGTGACCTTGGCCATGGCATTTTGATGACCCTTTTTGCTGTATGGATGGTGTTAAGAGAGAGCCGGATCCTCTCCCAGAAGAATGAGAATGAGGTGATGTTTTGTCTGTCTGTTTTTGATAGAAATTCAGAAACATAAGATAGTATTATTATTTTCTTGACATATTTCTAGTATTTTTCTTCTGTAATCTTTGTCTGCATACTGTTTTTGTCTCCCCATAGGGCAACAGGTTTATAATAATTTTGTACATACAGAGGATAATTCAGTCTTTTCTCCATGATTGATAAAAATATATTTTCTTTTTACTTATTTGTTGAGATATTATTGATTTATAATATGACATTAGTTTCAGGTGTACAAAATAGTGATTCCAAAATTTTGTAGTTTACACTCCACTTATAATTATTATAAAATGTTGGCTATATTCTCTGTGCTGTACAATATATCCTTGTAGCTTATTTTATTTTATACATAGTGGTTTGTACCTCTTGAGTCACCTACCCCTATCTGTCCCTCTCCCCTTGACTCGCCCCACTGGTAACCACACACTAGTTAATTCAAGAATGAACTAATGTCTAGGTTACATCTGCATTGGTCTGAACCTTTATAATTTCTCAAGCATCCATTATGAAAATTATGATTTGGAAGTCTTTGATCCATAAGAGAAATTTTAGAGACTATTTAGAGAATAGAGGAGCTATGTTCATTTTAACACTAAAGAGGCCATGTGCTGTGAAAGTACATTTCTTGTTAGCATTGTATTTTGGTCTTTACTTCAAGCTGTCTGACCCAGAATGGGGTAAAAGTGGCGAGAGAGGAAGGGGCTAGTATATTTTGAATGACATTGTCACAACTTGAGCTGCAGGGATTATGTTTCATTGGCCTCTTTCTTCTGGCTCCCAGATGTTCAGCACTATATTCAGTGGCCGGTACATCATTCTGTTGATGGGTGTGTTCTCTATCTACACTGGCCTCATCTATAACGACTGCTTTTCCAAGTCTCTTAATATCTTTGGATCATCCTGGAGCGTACGGCCGATGTTCGATATATACAACTGGACGTAAGTTGCCAAGAAGCTGAAAGTCAAAGTTTATTCCTTTCATATCCAGCTCTGGATTTCCAGATAAATGGTAAACCAGCACTTGTTTATGAAGTGTTTGACACTGTTTCTGTTCCAAAAGAATGTAGTGTCTCCTCTTATCTATGCTCCAGCCTGGGAAATGCTTTGTGATTTATTCAGTAGTGTCAAGGAACTGTAAGTTAGGTGCATTGATTCTTTTTGTAAGTTAAAAGCAGGGCTCCCAATTTCCCTACCCGGTCTTGTGTGTGTGTTTAATTTTTTTCTTTGTTATCTATGATCCCTTCTCACTCTCTAATGCTAATCCCTCCTCTGTTATTGAAAAGACAAGGTAGCTTATAGTAGTTTCTCTGGGGATCAGTTTCTGGATCCCAGTGATTCCTTCTCTTGATAAAAAAAATAAATGCCGGTTTTCTCCTAACATGGTAGGGAAGAGACACTTCGGGGGAACCCTGTCCTCCAGCTGAACCCAGCCGTCACTGGAGTTTTTGGTGGACCATATCCTTTTGGCATCGATCCAGTAAGAGCACGTCTTTTCTTTTTTTTTTTTCATTTATTTTTATTAGTTGGAGGCTAATTACTTTACATCATTGCAGTAGGTTTTGTCATACATTGAAATGAATTAGCCGTGGATTTACATGTATTCCCCATCCCGGTCCCCCCTCCCACCTCCCTCTCCACCCGATCCCTCTGGGTCTTCCCAGTGCACCAGGCCTGAGCACTTGTCTCATGCACCCAACCTGGGCTGGTGATCTGTTTCACCCTAGATAATATACGTGTTTCGATGCTGTTCTCTTGAAACATCCCACCCTCGCCTTCTCCCAGAGTCCACAAGTCTGTTCTATACATCGGAGTCTCTTTTTCTGTTTTGCATATAGGGTTATCGTTACCATCTTTCTAAATTCCATATATATGTGTTAGTATACTGTAATGGTCTTTATCTTTCTGGCTTACTTCGCTCTGTATAATGGGCTCCAGTTTCATCCATCTCATTAGAACTGATTCAAATGAATTCTTTTTAATGGCTGAGTAATATTCCATGGTGTATATGTACCACAGTTTCCTCATCCATTCGTCTGCTGATGGGCATCTAGGTTGCTTCCATGTCCTGGCTATTATAAACAGGAGCACGTCTTTTCTATATGTCTGACATGAAGTTGTTTTTTTTAATTGGCCATTCATGGCTTTTGGAATTTTGGTTCCCCTACAAGGGATTGTACTTGCACCCCCTGCATTGGAAGTGTAGAGTCTTAACCACTGCACTGCCAGAGAGGTCTCTAACATCAAAATTTTTAACTGAAACCCAGAAGTAAAAGCATGAAAATGAAGATAAATAGTTTTTTTGGAGTTTTAGGTAACATATTTTTAGAAAACCTCAGTGTATCTGTCCAGAGTACTTTAAAGCTGCAAGAGACCCAGATGCCTTGGGGAGCCATATTATTTTTCCTGCGTGACTGACTTTAGAGATGGCTAATAATACTGACTTTGGGAAGGTTGATTTTTCAAGACTCCTTCCCAGTTTATTTCTGTTTAACTTAGTTTCATTTTTATTTTTAGCAGATGTTTTAATAAAGCAAAAATAGCTCTTTTCTATGGATTTTAGATTACCATTCCTACATTTACATACTTAAAAAACTCATCCCAGAATTTTGTTTTATTTTTTTCAAATGCGTAAGCAAGTAAAGTGTGATCAAATCTTTTGTGTTATGTGCTTAAACAGAGGAGGTAGGGGAGAATTTAAGCATTAGATTGTAAGGATTACAGAATTCCAGAGGAAAAGCAGATCATTGCCAGAAAGATTGAGGTTTCTCATTAAAAAAATAAAGGAATTAATCTGGCCTTTGAAAAATATTGCAGATTGTTATAGGTGAAGAGAAGTATGTGCAAAAGCGTAGAGGTAGGGAGATAAAAAGTTAATTATTTTAATTTTTATAGAAGCTAATATTACTGAAATGCTTACTATGGACCAGGTACTATACTGAACCCTCAGCATATCTTATTTATCCCCAAACAATCAGGTAAAGATTGCTGTCTGTATTATACAGATAAGGAAACTGATACTTGAAGATATTTCATAACATTTCATATGTGCATTTAACAGATGTTTACTGAATCCCTATAGTCTATAAGGCATAGTAGCTGCTGGGGAAACACATCATTCTAAGACACAGCTCCTGCCCTCAAACAGCTTGGAATCTAATAATAATACTATCTCACATTTCTGTAGTGTTGTGTAGTTACAGAAGCTTTGTTGTTGTTTTTGCAGACATTTGATGGCTTACAGGGAAGGTCCTGAGTTTAAAGTGCCTGTGGGTCACCCGGGTATAAATGTCCATCAGGCAGCTGGAGTTGCAGAACCTTAGGCCAGACTGGGGCTACAGAGAGAACCAGCCAGAAGTTTTCAGGTTAGAGGTCACTGAGGATGAACTCTTCATGAAGAGGCTAGTTCAAAAAAAAGATGCTGGGCTAGATGGTGGAAGATCTGGCCTAATAGGTTACAGAGTTTACTTTTGGTCGCAGAGGTGACGGGGATTCTTGGAGGTTTGGCATAGGAACATGGCTGCCTCAGAGTCATTACTTAGGAAGCATACTCTGATGGCCAAAATGGAGACAGAACTGTCAGGAAAATTTTACAGGCGTCCAGGCCTTAAGCGACAAAGTGAAAGTGAAAGTGAAGTCGCTCAGTCGTGTCCAACTCTGCGACCCCATGGACTGTAGCCTACCAGGCTCCTCTGTCCATGTCGCTTAAATCAAGCAACAAAGCTGAAGACAATTAATATTTAAAAATAAATGGAAGGACAGCACCACTGGGTTTCAGCCAGCATCTACAAGATAAATGTCCCCAATTTCTTCAACAAATATTTTGTAATAAAGAGGAGAACTCCAGGGAGAAGCTATAGAGACTTAAAAATTGCTTCAGCAGTCATGTGATATAGTGACTTATTGGACTCTACTTTGAATAAATGAATTATTTTTAAAAATATGGATGCAATCAGGAAAATTTGAATATTAATGATTCCATGGTATTACAGAAATCATTGTTAATGCTTTGGGGTGTTATGACAGTACTGTGGTGATTTTTTTTTTTTAACTGCACCAGGTCTTAGCTGCAGCACATGGGGTCTTCAATCTTTGCTGTAGCAAGCAGGTTCTTTTTTTTTTTTCTAGCAGGTTCTTTTAGTTGTGGCATGCAGGATCTTTAGTTGCAGCAGGCAAGATCTAGTTCCCTGACCAGGGATTGAACCCAGGCCTCCTGCCTTGGGAGCACAGAGTCTTAGCCACTGCACCACTAGAGAAGTCCTTTGTGGTCATGTTTTTAAAATAAGCTCTTAGCTTTTAGAGATCCATGCTGAAATATAATATGTACAGGTAAAAGGATACGATATCTGGATTTTCTTCAAAATAATATGGAGGTGGGGCATAGGTGAGGTAATGATGAAGCAAGATTGACGAGAAGTCAATAATTAATCATTGCAGCTGGGCCATAGATACATAGGAGTTTGTTATTTTATTCTCCCTGCTTGTGTGTGTTTAGAATTTTCCACAATTAAAAAAAACTTTCTACAGTAGGTAAATATTTTTCCATTTGAGAACTGTTTGTAATGCCTTCTGTCTTCTTGGGCTGCAATAGATTTGGAACATTGCTACCAATAAACTGACCTTCCTCAACTCCTTTAAGATGAAGATGTCTGTTATCCTTGGTATCATCCACATGTTGTTTGGAGTCAGTCTGAGCCTTTTCAACCACACGTGAGTTGCTCTGTTTTGTCCTAAGAATTCACACAGTTCGGACAGTGCTTTTGCCTGAAGAAGTCATAACACCTTTAGGAGGAAGTAATAACTCAGAGCACTCTTCTGTATTGAAGAAGTGTCTTTAAAAAAAATCTCACTTCTTCAAATGAAGCTTGCTTATTAATATTAGTGCCTTAACAATGTATGAGTTTCCCAGGTGGCGCTAGTGGTAAAGAATCTGCCTGCCAGTGCAGAAGACACAAGAGACATGGGCTTGATCCCTGGGTCAGGAAGATCCTCTAAAGTAGGAAATAGCACCCCACTCCAGTATTCTTGTCTGGAAAATCCTATGAGCAGAGGAGCCTGGCGGGCTACAGTCCATGTGGCTGTAAAAAGTTGGACACGACTGAGCCACTGAGCAGACAACATACAATTGTTCTCAAGATCTTTGTTAAAAAACAACACCTTGTGTAATTTTCATCAAAATGGAAGTTATGGTTTTTTCCCATGATGTGTAACTCACATAAACTTGTGAATTGTAGTCTCAGAAGGTACTTGATTTTCCCATCTCTTTCTCACGAGGGATTGACGGGGATGGTATTGGAGCTGTTCAAGGCTCAAAAGTTTGGAAGTCGTCATTAATCCTGCCTGTCTCTGTTGCCTCCAGTGCTTCTGGCTGTCACTTCTTAAAATGATAAACACAGAATTGATGGAAAGTTAGGTAGAAAGTCTCGGGAGAGCAGTCCACTTGATATGAGGTGACCCTGGGTCTGTTCACCGTTAACATTTTTTTCTGTCTTAATTTTTAGCTACTTCAAGAAGCCCCTGAGTATCTACTTTGGATTTATTCCAGAAATAATCTTCATGACCTCTTTGTTTGGTTACTTGGTTATCCTTATTTTTTACAAGTGGACGGCCTACAATGCTAAGACATCGGAGAAAGCACCAAGTCTTCTGATCCATTTCATAAATATGTTCCTCTTTTCCTACGGGGACTCTGGTAATTCAATGCTGTATTCTGGACAGGTGCGTCAATCTGAGGTGGACTTTTCTCAGTGGTTATCCTAGGTCAGGAAGCCAGATGTTTCTGTGACCTGAAAGAAGCCTTTAAAACTCCTTTTCAGTCCACACATTCAGATCTAAATTCAACCCAGTCTCATTCTTTGGGAGAGTCAACAGTAATTTTCTGTATCCAGGCAGAGTAGAATTTATAACTCCTATCCTATGGGACAGTCCTGGGCTTTGCTGCAACATCTAGTTATTTTGAGAAACTTGATTATGTTTTTTATTCTTAGATCAGTAAGAAAGAACTATTTTAGGGGAAATCTATGCTAGAGTTGGAAATTGCACGTTTGACTAATACAATGTGCCTTTTCCTCCTTACTTTGCAGAAAGGAATTCAGTGTTTCCTGGTAGTGGTTGCACTGCTGTGTGTCCCTTGGATGCTACTGTTTAAACCACTGGTCCTTCGCCGTCAGTATTTGAGGAGGAAACGTTTGGTGGGTATATTTCTGTTGCTGAAAGTTACCAGATTTTTTTTTTTTAAATCAGTGCAATTCCTTATTGGATGTAATGAGTTGTGCATAACCTGTATTCTCTTAAAATGCACTTGTGTTGTATCCCAGCATGAGCCCTGGACCTGCTGAAAAGAAAAAAACAAACATGTAATTGCTGTTCAGACATCCAGATATTCAGCTTTGAGTAGCCCAGGTGGCAAGAACAAGTCATAGTTTTCACCTTTCCTGATGGAGCTTTGCTCATGCTGTGCTCAGCAGAATCCAGGTCTGGGCCCGTCTCGCTGCAGCATCAGCTGAAGCAAGGCTGCCGGAGCTGCAGACAGTGAACCTACTCATGTGGTTTGCCTGGGCAACCACAAGGCTGACACCAAGACATTTTCTTTTAAAATGAGACCATGATACTTTCACCAGCCAAAACATCCGGCGTAGGGAAAGATTTGCTTTAAAGCACATTGACGTTTTTTCTTTTTAAAAAAGCAGCATACATACTTGTGCTTACTTTATATATGTGTGCATCTGAATTACACACACACACACACACACACACACACACACTTAAGTTGCCAAATATCCATTTCTGGCACTGCAGTAATGCTTACTTATTACCATTGCCTGGTAAAGCCTAAAAGATCGTATTGCATGACTCTCATACGGCTGTTAGATTGTTACTCCTGTTGGAGAGCAGCTGAGTTACCAGACCGCCCTTCTCCCTTTTCTGACCATCTCCATCCTTCCATGTGCCCTCCATCCGTCTCCCCTTTCACTCCCTCCCTCTCTTGTTTCCTTCTCCCTTCCTCTTTTCTCCCATTCACTATCAGGAAGGGCAACCTGTGGAGGCCCCAGTCAGCCCAACCCCGAGCCAGCAGGGACTAGAGGCAGCAGCGGCTGCAACAGTGAGTGAATTAAACCAACAAACCATCACATATTGTTTAAAGAGGTGGCAAACAGTGCAGCAGAATTCTCTTGAAGTATGTTGAGAGCATGGGCCATGTGTGCTCTTGGGAAGTATGTCCTTGTTACTCATTGAGGCTCTGACAGAAAAAACCTCCACCTCTTAGGAACAGATTCTGGTGTCATCTGTACCATTGGTCCACTCAGGTTCCATTCAGTGTATAAGTACAGTCATGTCTGTGAACGTAGGGCGTTTGTCATACCCTCTCCAAGCCCATCATCTTAATCCAAGAGGGCAGCTCTTGGACTCATCCATTGTCATCTGTGTATTTTGTGACCCTGTGTGGGATGATTTTTTTTTAGCATGGAGTGAGAGCATCTCTGTGATTCTTGAATTGATTTCCCTCCACTTTGAAGATCTGCTTCAAAGTGATGCTTGGACATTTGGTCCACATTAGCTGTGACTTACTGTCTTTCCAGTGGAAGCTTGTATGTGTCTTCTTTTCTGTGAGAGACTCAGGAGCCCTCACATCCTCAGTTGTTCATTGAGACCTCATCCTTGCCATGTGTCTTGTGTACTTTCCACCTGGTGTAATAACAAAGTTATCTTCAGTTTCAATCTTTCCTTCTTCCAATGCTAGCTCATGATTCAGTGACAGCCGTTGAACCTTAAGCATTTCATTATTTGTCCTTAAAATATCTCTTAACCAAAATCTTATAATGCACTAATACCAAATTAGCCCAATCTATTCTAGGTAATAATGAATCTGTAATATTTTTGAAATCTCACCAGTAGCGGTTCTTAATGTTCTATTGTATTCTAGTGGCATCATACTCTTTTAAAAAAATGAAATATTTAGATGGTGACCATTTACTTCATTAGGTGTTCCTGATCCTTTTAACTTCAAAAACTAATTATTCTTCTAGAACTAGTCTAAAAAGTCTGATATCTTGGATCAGAAGATATTTAAATGTGGCTGCTTAAAATTATTTTCAAGTGGGGACTTACTCTCTTTTATGAGAGGGGAAAAAAATACCCTAAAGCACATACTGTCCATGTATTGGCATTCTTCTCATGTGCTCTTCTTTCTTCTAGTTTTAGTTGGAAGTGTGCTTCTGCTGCATCAGTCTTGATGCTTTTAAATCTAGCATCCTCTTCTGTGATACTGTCCAAGTTAAAAGTCCCCGGTCAGGAAACCTGCTCATTCGGAGGGACTCCTTAGCCCACTGGTTCTTTAGCCAAACATCTATTTCTGGAGAGCAGCCTGAATGCATCAGAATGATCATTCCATTATGAGGGCCCTAGATTCTTGACCCTAAGAGCTGAGGATATGAACACAGATCTGGTTTTGTTCTGTCATCTGTCCTCTTGGTTGTCTGTAAGCAGTGTATCGTAGTTTTAATTTTTTCTTTTCTTCTTTCTGCTAATGTGTGTGTCTCATCTCCCTTCCTGTAACTCACACTTCCTCTGTTCTGAAGGGACGCTTATTCTGTCTGGCTGGGAGGTTTAACCTGGCTACCCCCTCACTTCATCTGCTGGTTGGGGAAAACTTCAGAAACGACTTTCTGCTTTAGGCTCTAAAGCCTGCTTCCTCAACCCGGGCACCCAAGAACCCACCCCAGGATACTCAGGAATCCTGTCCTATCACCAGTGTGGTGCAGAAGGTGCTGCTGAGTGTACACTTGTGTTATATGTTCAGTCCGCCTCTCGGGGGTCATCAAGTGTAATAGTTATACAATCTGGAGGTGCCTGGGGCAGTTCCCAGATCTGCCTACACATCAGAATCACCTGGTGAACTTTGAACTTGTTTCTTAGGTGTTAGAGAAGTGGAGGAAGACATAGAGATTGCCTGTAATTCCATGACCCGTTGTGGCATTATGTGTCACACCCTCCTGACACGAAAAACTAAAATCAAAGCAATAGGTGCACTTGGTTGGGGCTGCAAACAGTACTGATGGTGAAGCTTCCCCCACCTCCTCCTCCAGGCTATTGTTAGCAAATGGGGAATTTTGCCTTTAAATTTTTTTCTGCCAATATCAGCATATATCTGTCATCTACTGATAGAAGTATGTATATACATATGTACAGGTATATATATCTAAAACACATGGGCAGTTGGGTTTTAAATTGCAGCAGTCTTCTGCCCCTTGACTTATTGTTTCGTCACAGTACCCTTAGAGTTGCCCAGCAGTCCACAGGACTGTCTGTTGGATGTGCTAAAATAATGTAACCATCCCCTTATAGATGGCTCTGGTGGTTGTTCCCAGTTCTTTGCTGTTCCGAATAATATAACATCCTTGTCCTTGTGTCCTGATAAAACTTCACAGGCGTAGATGTTCCTAGCAGCAGGCTTACTGTCTCAAAGGGTGCATGCATTTTGGGGGGCACACCTTTTCAATTTTGATAGACAATCAAAATGGTCATACAGTTTGTCCTTGGGGAAATGTTTTTTAAGACACAGATTTTCTAGGCCCTACCCTAGACCCACTAAATTTACCATTTCTAGAGGTGATATTCGAGACTGTCTATTTAATGAAATGCAGCTTTCAAGGTGATTCTGATACAACCAGTTCTCTGACGAGCATATGAGAACCATTACTAGAAGAAAAGAGAGAATCTGCCCAAACCTGGAGGGTCGGTGGTCGTATGCTGTGGTCAGAGATGCACACCAGAGGTGAAGCAACGAGTGGGGACCTTGGGGCGGCTGTCCAAAACCGCTTGCATATTGTCAGTGGTGCTGCTTGGAGGCCATTTAGCAGGAAAGCAGTCTTTGAACTCTTGCCTCGTTTGGCTCCCTGGATGGCAGCCATGTGAAGTAGGTCTCAGAGCTCTTTCCTTGGTTCCTTTTCTCTCTGTGGCAGGTTAGCACTAATTGGTATCTGCCACACTTAACCCCAGTTCCGCCTGGTTTTTGTACCCAAAGAATCCCCTTGCCTCAATAAACCCAAACTTTTCCAGATCAGGCTGACTTAGAAATTCTGGTCCTGGGGACCCTGCTCAACATGGCTGTGGAGTGAGAGGCAGCAGGCACCTAGTCAGCATCTGCCCGCGTGCCTGTGAAAAAGTTGTGTTAGCACTCAGAGTTCTCCCCTGAAGGACAGGAGCCTAACTGGGTATTCTCTAGCTGCAAGCTAATGTACATTAAGCTTTTTTTTCCCTGTTCTGTGACCTAGAAACTCCTTTGTTCCTGGGCAAGGACCCAGTACATTTGGGGGAGAGGTTCTGAAACTTGTCAGGCTCCTGTTGAAATCTTAGCCAACTAGGTTGCAATCACCATGTCATCTGACTCCCCTCCCTCTTAGAAAGTGTAATCTTTAGTTCCAGAAAAAGTTAGGTCATTGAAGCCTTTACAGATAGAGCCATGCTTGTTAGGGGGGTCTATTCCTACTAAGCTTTTCACGCAAACAGGTTTCTCAGTTGGCATTGGCCAAGGCAAGGATGGTGTCTCTTGGTGCAGCAGAAACTGCTTGTTGCCTCTGATCAGACTGAGGTGGTACATGTAGTTCGGGCTGGGCCTGGGCAGAGGTAGTTGGGGTGGGAACAGTGGCTTGATTTTACTTAGCTGTTCCATCAGTGGGTTTTGTTTTTGTTGTTAGAATATATGCTTTTCTGAGGTTTGTGTGTACTAACCATCGCCCTTCCCCACATCACAGAATGTCACATTAAAGCCCAGGCAAATTCTACTCTTTCTGTTCATCTATGTAGGGAACTCTCAACTTTGGTGGGATCAGGGTGGGCAACGGACCGACAGAGGAGGATGCTGAGATTATTCAGCATGACCAGCTCTCCACCCATTCAGAGGACGCGGAGGAGGTAAGATCAGTGGTGTGGGCTTCCTCTCCTCCCGTCTTGGTTCAGCCCTAGTCTTGTGTCCCCAAGTGGCCTCACTCCTGTCTGCTCCTTGAAAGATGAAAATACTAATACTGAGCATCTGCCTGCCTTCTGGACCTCTTAGGGCTCCTCAGCTTTTTTCCAGTGGCCCCTGCTATAAACTCCAGGTGTTGCCTGCTGAGCCCACAGCAATTTTGTTCTGCTGTCCGGCTTCTTGAGTTCCACGAGGCCTGCAGTAACCCTGTGCGTGAATCAGTTACTGACCACTCTCCTCGGACTGAGGCAGAGCCAGCCCCAGTGCCCCGGCTCTGACACCAGAAACCCGGCCACTTTTGGTGGCCCCTTCGTCCCTAGCCCCTCCTCAGACTGGTTCCCGTGTGGACTTGAGTCACTGGGTTTTTGAAGTCCTGCTCCACTAATGTGCTCTTGTGGCAGACACGTTCCGTGAGCCTTTTAAAGGGCTTACTTGCCTACTTTTCAAAGGGAGGGTGAAGTCTGAACTTACTAGACTTTCCCTTAAACCACCACCTCCACGCTGTTTTTTTTAAATCAATCTCCTTGCCTGACCATACCACAAAGCCTCTGAGCTGAACTTTGGATCTCATCTATCCACTATATTCTTTTTAAAGCATAAAGAATAGGAATTGGATACCCAGGGGACTGAACTGTGCAGTATGACTGACTGCGTCTACTTTGTGTATGACTCTTTTAAAATAGAAATGGCAAGGCTTGGGATGCCTTTTCAAAATAAGTACCAGCACTCCAAGCACTCCTGATTTTGCTTTCCATTTGTGCTGAGGAGGCCTGTCTCTAACATGTTAGAACATTTAACATTCACGGTCCTCCACCCCCACCAAGAAGCAATGAGTAGCTTCGTGCTCATGACTTGTGACCTTGTGTGTGGCGTGGCTTCCCACTAAGTGTAAATTTGTGTTTTCAAGCCTACCGAGGACGAAGTGGTAAGAAACCAGCTGGCTTTGGCTTCATGTTTATCTGGGGCTTCTCTTCCCGTCCTTGTCATCACTCTGCTGTCCCTGCCGCATCCTGGGACCCCATGTGACACCCGTGTACCCTGCATCTCACTGGCCATCTCTAACCAGTCTGTGAATCTGTGTTCTGAAAAAGCTCATCTCCATTAACTGCATCTCACGTCAGTCACCTCTGTCTCTGTTTCATTGACTTTGCTGATCTAATGCCTTGAGAATGGCTTTACAAGGAGCTGCAAGTAATGTCTGCACTGGCATTCTTGAAGTGACTCCCATTGGGAGTTAAACCCTGTTGGCCTCTGCCTTCCTCTCTGTGATGCTGTGTATAGTCGCTCTGCCCTAGGAGTAACCATTTCCTCCTTGCTCCTTGAGTGCTTATGGGAAAGCTCACCCTTCCTCCCTGAGATGCAGCCCACCTCTTCCTGCTGCCCTCATCAGCTTGATGATGCTTGGAGTGAGAATGCTGCACCTTTGCTGGGGGGTCACCTTTACCTCCACGTGACCCAGTTGGAAGATAGACAGCTTTCAAAAGGAGGCTTTGCCTCTAGGATGCATCTTAGAAAAAAACAGTCCATCTGCATGCAAGGAGTTCATATTATCCCAGCCACACACAGAGAGTAACAGAGTAGAAAGAAAGTTGGCTAAATGTTCAGGCCACAGCCAGACTAGAAAGCCTTCTAGCTCAGCCGTAATTCACTTAGCCGTGTACACATTTTAAATTGGGTTTTTAATAGGTGTTGCTGCACTGTTTGCATCTTCTCCCCAAATTTCTCTCTGAAATACCCAGACCTGTGACCCTTTCCCTTTTCTGGCTTTCCTGGTCCTCTCTAAGTGGGCAGTGGGATGGGAATGGGAAAGGCTCTGCTATTCTGTGTGAAGGCAGACAGCGTTCGGTCTTCCTGAAGGCCGGAGAGGCCCCTTGGCGGGCATCTGGGAGCTTCTGTTCCTCCGGACCGCTCCTCTGTGCATGGCCGCTGGGAAGGGCCAGGTGGGAGCGCGTCCGTGTCAGTGAGGAGCCCAGCCCTCTCCCAGCAAGGCTGCCTCCAGCACCAGTGCCTCCAGCGCAGCTCTTCTGTGCAGCCCTGTCCCAGGGGGGTGGACATGCAAACAAGATGGACTGAAATTCAGCCTTCCCAGTCTCTGGCCCCACCCCCGACTCCCTCAGAGATTGTTTCCCACAGCATCATAAGTAGTGAGGAGATTCGGATAACTGCCTCAGATATCTAAATACGTCACAGGTGGAGGCGGCAGACTCTCCCTGGGGGCGCTCTGTCCAGCTGCACACCAGAGCCCGGCCCCTCAGTTGTCTGGGGAATCTTTGCAGGCTGTAACCGCTCAGCAAGGGTCAGTGGGACCTGTCCCTACTGTGTCATCTCGCCAGATGGCATTCATCCACTCATTCATTCACCCTCCGTGTGCCAAGCACAGTGCTACAAGAACTGAGAGAAGAAGAAAACAAGTCCTTGCTTTCAAGGAACTCCCAGACTAATTGAGGTGACAGATGCTATGACCAAGGTGTGCCCAGGATGCTGTGGGAACATAGGAGGAGGGCACCTGCAAAACACTGGGGTGGGGTGGGGAAGAGGACCCCTAGAAAGGATTCCCTGAGGGAATTATTGCTGAGATTAGCCTGGGAGGGCCAGAGGGAATGCAGACCTATAGTATGTATAGTTACCATAAAGGCACATTTTGGGGATAAACAAGTTTTCAGCTTGCTAGAGCACAGTCAGGAGTTGAGGGACTGGTGAGAAGTAAGACTAGAGGTTGGCAGACAGCAGCCATAGTAGAGTATTAGGCAAGAAGGAGCGCCACAGGGCAGTGAAGCTGCAAGTAACCCAGTGTGTACCATTGCTGAAATACCCTAGGGGAGAAGGGTAGAGGGTATATTGGGTGGAGGAGGGGCACAGCCTGAGAGGGGTCAGGAAAGACCTGCGAGGCCTGGAGGGAAGTTAGGCATTGGCAGTGGGAGTTGGGAAGGAAGGGAGCAATAAGAGATGGAGGAAGTAAAAGCTGCAGGCCTTGGGCCTTCGTGAATGCAGGCAGTGGGAGTGAGTGAGAAGTCAAGCTTGACTTCCAGGTTCAGGTGCCTGCGGCTCTAGTTATGACCCCCAGTTAGACATGGGATGAGGAGTAGAAGTAGGTCTGGAGGGTCAGAGGAGAACAGACAATGAGTTCAGTTTGGGTGGTGTGGAGGTTGAAGCATCTGCGCTGTGGCAGGAGATGTGGACAGCTGGTTGGAAACCCACAACATGGAAGTAGAGGTGCCCATTGGGAGCTCCTCCCGGGGTGGCCGCTGAAGGCCTGAGTGGCAGCTACAGGAGAGAAAAACCAAGAGGAAGTGAGCGTGTCAAGGAGAGGAGAAGGACAAGGCAATGGTGACAGATGCTGCAGAGGCTCAGTCACAGGATGTCTGTTAGACCTCGCGGCCGGGAGCTAAGGGGAGCGAGCCCAGGAGGTATGTGGAGCTAAGAGGGTGCAGCAGGTGAGGAACGGGCATGGTGGGGTGGCCAGGAGGCGGGTAGAGAATTAGAAAGGGCGTCTGCAGTGGCTCCTAGTCAGTCGTAGCTGACTCACATGGGGCAGTGACAGACTCCTAACTGCTTGGCTGGTTTCTCACTTAATCCTCACCCCACTTATTATCTCCCCCTCCCTGCCCCGCAGTATACAGGTATGAAAACTTGCCCAAGGTTACAAAGTAGGAAGTTGGGAGTGAAAGAGAGGAGAAAGCCAGGGTAACGCCTGGAAGGAAAGCTTCCTCTTCCATCTCAGTTCTTTTTTGGTTAATGGGAGAAACTCAGAGTGGAATAAAATTGCTGAAAGGATCTGGTTCTAAGGGAGCCCACAGTCACTGCTTTCACGGAGCTCTTAGTAAAGCCTTGCAGTCCGTGGAGATGGGGACCCTGTCCTTCCTTGGAGCATGGACTGTGGGGTGACAGCCAGCAGTGGTGGCAAAAAGCTCTTAACAGCATTGTCAGGATTCAGGTAACTATGGTTACCCTAGTTTTCAGGGTCACTAGAAGACTTTGCAAGAGCCTATTTCAAAAGAAAAGCCCAGAAATACTCTGGGTATAGATAAGGGTGAGGGAAAATGAGGTGATAGCCAGAGATGGCGAGCTGGATCTGGCCCCCCTCGCCACTGGCCATGCCCATGAGGCCTGGGCTGTTAGCGCTTCACCAGCCAGCCCAGCCCTCCTCTTCTGCCCTCATGCCGTTTCTCAAGGCAGTTCTTTCTGGTATCTTTCGGGGGTCAAGTCATGTGAATCTGGAAAGAAAGGGGTGAAAAACAGACTGACTTGCGGGCAGGGCAGGCTTGGAAAGCTGATTTGGCAGCGGCCCTCTGCTCACTGGGTCTGGTCTGGGCCCTGTGGGGAGGGGCTGCCTGCCTCCTGTCCTTCAGTGGCTGTGGCTCCACCTGGGAGAGTGAGGCCCGGAAGCATACCTAGGGCTGGACTTCAAGCAGGCCTAACAGGAAGCTCCCCACAGCCCCTCTTCCTCATGCTGGAAATAATCTTTGATGTTGAAAGGAAAACTGGAAGAAAGGGAGCGTGAGGAAAACAGACCAAAAAGACAATACATGTTCTGTTTGACCTTCATCACCTGCCCAAGTAGGAATTTGTAAAACTTTGCCAGAACGTCCCTGTATGATCTTTTCAGAAGTCTCTAAAGTAACAGGGAGTTAGCTTGCTGCCCACATGTTGGGAAAATAAGAAGGGGCTGCAGAGGTTTAGTCTCCTCCAGGTAGTTTCCAGCCTGGTGGCCTGTCCCCTGACACACATCCCAGGGAAGAGCCCTTCCTGTCCTCTTGGCTCTGGAGAGCAGGGTGCTCTGCTCTCAGGCTCCACAAGGTAGCAGTCAAGCCAGAACGGAGCTGCCAGACAGCTCTTGGCCCAACATGCACCCCGCTCCGGAGCTGACAGCCTAGTGGGGAGAAAAAGCAGATGTGTTGAGAAGAGCCTCATTAAGAAGTAGTTCATTACAGTGTAGTGTTTTGAGGGGAGGGGGGCAACGCCCAGCTAGGGGCCCAACCAGGCAGGATTTCCGGGGATGGCCCCACCGAAGTGTCTCCACCAGGAATTCAGCACCAAGGGCTCTGGGTCCAGGTAGCCATCCATGCCAGCACTCAGACCCCTGCACGCTCCCCGCCCCGCCTCATTTCCGCTGTCTGGTTTCCTCCCCTGACAGTTTGATTTTGGGGACACCATGGTGCACCAGGCCATCCACACCATCGAGTACTGCCTGGGCTGCATCTCCAATACCGCCTCCTACCTGCGGCTTTGGGCCCTGAGCCTCGCTCATGCACGTGAGTGTATTTCTCTCAGGTCAGAGGCCATGTCTGTCCCCCTTGCTTGGGCACTCCCTCCAGTGGGGGCTTAAGGAGAGTGGAAATTATCTTAGGGCTCTGGAATTATGGACTCCCGAATCCCGGGAGAATGACATCCTGCTGGGAGTGTCCATGCTTTTGCCAGGTTAGCTGTTGAGGTCGCAGGAAGCCGGGGGGCAGGGCATACTGCGGTGGGGAGATGGAGAGCGAGGTGCACAGCCTGCAGCACCCCTGGCCTGCCTGAACCGATGTCCTGTCTCTCCCCAGAGCTGTCCGAGGTGCTTTGGACCATGGTGATCCACATTGGCCTGAAGGTGAAGAGCCTGGCCGGGGGCTTGGCGCTGTTCTTCATCTTCGCCGCCTTCGCCACCCTGACTGTGGCCATCCTCCTGATCATGGAGGGCCTCTCAGCCTTTCTCCATGCGCTGCGGTTACACTGGTGAGGGGCAGCGCGGGCCGGGGCGGGAACGTGTCCTTAGCTGCACAGAGGGCGGTTTTATGCCAGAATCCGAAGATGCTAGGAAGTGTCTGCTTTCACATCCTCATGCCCAAGGAAGTACTTGGTGTGAGCCTCAGGAAGTGTCCCCTGAACAGCACAGCTCACTTTTCCCAGCCTCCAGGGAGGAGTCCCTGTTGTGTGCTGTCAGAGTCGCTCTCCTGTGTTCAGCCTTCTTCTTCAGTGTCTTGATTATGGCTTCAAAGATCTTCTGGGGTCTTTGTTTGGGGTGTTTTGCACTGGCATTTAACTCTTTCCTGCCCTCAGAGCAATGAAAGCAGCTCTGGAGTAGATTCTAAGTCCAGGGAGGTGCTGGAGCACACTCTGCCCTTGTCTTGTCCCCGTATCCTATCATGGCACCAGTGTCTTTAGGTAAGACTCTGGCAGCTCTGTGTGAGTAGGGGGATTCCTGTTCTAGCGCATATTGCTTGGTACACTGAAGCCACCTCTTCAGAAGGGCAGGTTTTGGATTTGTTTGTTTTCTTTCTTGAATGTTGTCTGTGGCTCTTAATGGCTGTGGATGGAGGTGGCTCAGATCCTGCGGAGTGGAAGCTGAGGTCTGGTCTGGACTGTGACTCCACAACTTCAGAGTAAGGTTGGCAGATTTAACAAATAAAGTTATAGAGCCCTCAGTTAAATTTGGATTTCAGATAAACAATGAGCATTTTTTTTTTTAGTATTTCCCAGATGTCCTTGGGACATGTTGATACTGAAAACTGGCCGTGCCGCACTTTATCTGGCTACCTGACCCCAAACCTGCCTCCTTGAATCTCCATCTCTCCCTTCACGTTATGATTCTCCCTCTCTTTTGGGGTCCGTCGGCTCTGGAAGCTTTAGGCCTGAAGTGTGCACACACAGTTGTGCCACTTTAGGGGCTCACAGACTCACTGTCCCGCCCTTTGGGCTCCCTAGACGAGATGATCTGCAGTGTTCATGATCTCAGGGTCAGGAGAGAGGGCTGTGACTCTTTCCATTGCTTCTCAAAACCTGAAGAAAACTAAAATCTGAACCTGAGAAATCTCTTCCCTACTCCCCTTATCTTTGTTTTTTTCTTGTTTGACTTGTTTTCAGCTGAGCCTGCTCAAAGATTCCGTCGTCATTTGTTGTTCTGAATGACAGAGGGGAAAGTGAGGCGGGGGAGCGGGAGCCGTGGCCGGGACTGACTCTTCCCTCAAAAGCTCCTTTAGGAGAATCCGCGTCAGGACACCGTACTTTCTCAGGCCTGGCTCTCTCCTCCCCCACGTCCCCTCCCCGCCCAGCTGTTGTTTACTGGGAGCCAGGAGTCTGGCCCGGCCGGCCGAGTGGCCCGACTGCTGGCGCACTACCCGCTCTCAGCTTATCAGCGCACGCTCGCCCCAGCACACTTCCTCACCACCCGGTGCTGCCAGCCTGTGGTGACTCACTTGTTCTTACCCGCTTGGCTTCCTTCCTTTCCTGTTCATTTCTCTGTCTCCTGAGCGCTGGGCTCCAGGGAAGAGTGACCAACCTACCTGGACTCCAGCCTGAGTGGGGAACCCGTTACCTACCCCCAGGTCAGTGGGGAGCAGTCAAGGAGCTGGAGCAGACCTGTTGGAGCAGTGAGCCAAGCCCATATGGAGCAGGGAGGGCCGCCTGGGCCCGGTGTCCAGAGTGAACTGTGGCAATTGGAGGTCATGCTTTGCCGCCAGAAGGATTCGTCTTCCTCAGGCTTACCTGTGGGCTTCGAGTGAAGGTCCTCATGAATGAGCCTGAGGAAGTGACAGGTGGCAAAGAAGCAAGCTTCAGAATCGGGTAACCCGAGTTTAAATTCCAGCTCTGCTGGCACTGGCTGGGCGACCCTGAGGACAGCACTTGCCTCTCTGAACCCCACTTTCTCTCCTGTGAAGAGAGAGGATGTTGTCCATGGGACAAGGTTGCTGCAGTTAAGTAGGAAGTAATGCGCAGACCAAGTGATTGGCCTGCTGCCCTGGCACATCAAACCTGAGATCAAATGCAGATGGGGCTGCCCTGAGGAGAGGGTCATGGCCCCTGGAAGTGCTCCCTTCAGTTTGTTAGAAGAGAGACCCCAAGGGGAAGCACATGAGGCCACTTGAATACCTCGCAGACGTAGTTTGCAAGGAATAGGCTCATCAAATACTGTATCATACTTGCAGGGTGGTGGTTGTTTGGTAGTGGAAATTTTGGATAGGAGAGAAAAAAAACAGCAGTGAAAACTGTGCAACTTTGAGAATCCCATCCCTGGAGGCCTTTGTTTTCCCTGCCACTAAAAAGGAGTGAAAGAAGCTGGTGCTCGTGCACCCCCTCCTGGCTGAGTGTAGACGTGCCCCGAGGATCTCCGGATCTTCTCAGTCCAGCGGGACTGCAGGCATTCTGAGTTATGACCATCCTGTGAGGGGTGGGAACAGCTGGGCCTGCTGAAAATGGCTGCAGGGACATTGCTGCTGTGTTTGCCTGGCTTCCAGCCTGGGCATCTTTATACCTGTCGCCTTACCCCTGGTATTCAGCTGGGCTTACTTGATTCTGCTGCAAGGACTGTCCCATTACACACAAGTTCTGGGTCTTTTTGGTGGGAACAAGAAGAAAAACATCTGACTTAATAACAAAGATAAACCTTGAGTCTGAGGGTCACGTAGGGACAGGAGGAGGTGAAGGACACATGAAAACAGGCGAATTCATGCACCCACCTGCTAACTCTGTCTCCTCCTGAGTTACATCTGTCTGTCCTTTCCTCCCACCGACTGTGCGCAGTGTGGCCCTCTTGCCTACCATAATGAAAGGTCTTTTCTTCCTCAGAAAAGGCAAAGGCAGGGGTGTGATTTGTGGTTTGAACTGTGGACACCGGATTGATGTTAACAGAAAACTTGTTGCCCCATGACCTACCTTCACAGGAACCTCCTCCCTTCCTACCTAGCAGGTTCCACATGCACACTCACAGACTGGGGGCTAAAGGGGCAGATTTGGGGGCCAGTTTGTTTGTAAGGAATACAGTGGCACCACAGCCAGACACTGTGGGTGGCTGAGGGAGTGGCTGCTCAGGAGAATGAAAACCCCTGAAATGTAGCCCCCTGGGCTGACCTCACAGCCCCACACGGGGGTCATCGGCTGGCTGTGTGCTGCAGGCCCAGCACTGCTCAGATCAGGACAGGACCATCTTTCTAAAACCGCCTCCCGTAGGCCACACCCCAGCAGGGAAGGGAAGAGGCCCAGGTTTTCTCCCTTCATTCACTCAAGAAAACAAGATTTCTGTCACGTAGCAGGGGTGCTCTCTCAGGGGAATCCCGGTCAGTCCTTCCGGGCCACTCGGTGGCCTTTGCCAGGTGTGGGAGCTGGCAGAGTGACAGAACCCCGCCCGACTGCCCGAGGCTCTCCTCGCAGCTGCTGAGTTGGAGATGCATTTTAGTGGCCTGGGGTGTGGTAAGGCCCTGGAGACGTCCCAAGCAGAACCCCCACCCCGCCCCCGCCCCTTAGAAGGAAGGACTTACAGGGCAGCCAGCAAGGTCCCGCCGCGCCCCAGCACAGAGAACTTCATGTCTGTACTTTCTCAGGAAGCACACAGTTCCTGGCCGGCCGGGGGGTGCGGGGGAGAGACCAGCAAGGAAACTGCTTTCCAGCTTTGTACTAGGAGGTTAGGGCAAGCACGACCAAGAAGTGGAGCCACACTGGCCTTGAAATACCCACAGTGTCCCTGGTGGGCACCACCCTAAGTTCTTAAGTGGCGGCGAGGGGGTATCAGGTGGTGTGTCAGAGGGACCGCCCATCGGCTCACAGAGTAGAATTATGTGCCCCCCTCCCAGGCCTGGGTCCCTGCTTCATATACATGAAGCAGGCAGAGTGATGGCAAGAAACCCCTGCCTCTGACCCCTTGGGCCTGTGAACACATCTGCAGCTTCTCTACTCAGCCAGTTGGGATCAGAACTGTTTGTGTGATGAGTCAGCCAGAGGTCAGAGATACATCACAGACCCCAAGGTGACTTGCCCATGGTCTGGCTGTACATGGTTGAGTGACATGAAATGCTGTTGCCTGAGCACACGCAGCCTACGCAGCGTGGAGGATTCAGTCCTCAGAGCCGGGAGAAGCTGAAACCTACCCCCACCCCCACCACATTCCCCAGGGGAGGTATCTGGAGCTGGACCCTCATCATGGGGGTGCTGGGACATGGGGCTGAGTCCTGCAACTGACTTCAGTTTGAAGCACCCCCTCCTGGATCCTGTGCTCTCCGAGGGGGCATGGCCGAGGCACTGACTGGACTCCTCCAGGGGTCAGGAGGCTTTGGGGACCTTGGCGCAGCCCCTGGAATGTGGGATCGGGGAGAAGGGCTGCCTCTTCTTGTGCTCACACAGAAAACCCTGTTCCCCTCCTCTCCCCAGGGGATGGAGTTGGCAGCTCTGCAGTTGGTGTCCTCGGCCAGTGCCCCAGGGCTGAGGGGCCTCTGAGGACCTCTTGGGACCACCGCAGACAGCCCCCTTCCCACCTCCTTTTCACTGATTTCTTTCTTTGTCTTGGAGGGAGAATGCCCTGGCGGAAGGCTGAATGAGAGGCAGGAAGATGGAGAGTGTCTTGGTGCCCGCTGCCCATAGCCTGCCTCAGCCCCATGTGGCCCGCTGCTGCAGGAATCCAGGCCACAAGGGTCACACAACATTGAGTGGAAACTATTCCTCAGGGCAGCTCTCCTTGGCTTTTTTATCCTGTGAATCACGCATTTTTCTACCCATATTTGGTGGTGATTTGGTTGCTGGGCGGCCGTCCAGGGCGAGCTTGCAGCCGGGCCCTGCTTCCAGGCGTGGACGCCTTCCTGCCCCCTCAGAGCTCGAAGGGCCCAGGGAGACCATCAGGGATGGATGCTGAGCTGCTGGGGAAGGGAGCTAAAGCTGTTTTTCCTTTCAGTCCCCAAGAGAAGAATTCTTTCTCAGATGTTTTTGCAGTTGGAGAATATTTTTGCCATTGCTTTGAGAAGACTTCCCCTCCTAACTTCCCCCTTTCCTGGGAATTTCCTCCCCTAAATCGAAAGCCTTCACTGTTCACTCGCAACCCTTGCTTCTCCTTCCTCCCCTGAGAAGAGATACAAATAAAGAGAACAGTGGTCCCTGCCAGGGTTCCTTACACGAGTTCATACCACTCCGCTTGGGACACTTCCATTGGAGGTCCACACCAGGCCCTGCCAGGAGGGGCTGCTGGGGGACTCTTTCCCATCACTGTTAGAGGCTCAGGCCAACCGAAGGTTTTCTGCACCCAGCTTTCTGCAGAGTTTGGCATATACACATTTTCCTCTGAGCAGGACAGAGCAGGAACTGAGACCAAATCAATGCATTGGTGTGGTGTGCCCTTGCCGAGGGCAGGCCCTGGGCATTGCAGGCTGGAAGCAGGCTGGGGTCTGGGCTTCGTGGGCAGCAGGGGGCTTGAGGAACTTGGGGCCAGGACATCTTTCTGTAGAGTCCCAAAGTTTTTGTGGAATGACCACTCTCCTCTTCCCATTCTCCAGGGTGGAGTTCCAGAACAAGTTCTACAGCGGGACTGGCTTCAAGTTCCTGCCTTTCTCCTTTGAGCACATCCGGGAAGGGAAGTTTGATGACTGAGCCCCCAGGGGGCTGTGTGCCCAGCTGCCCTCTGCTCCCCGCCACGGTGGTTAGCTGTGCTCCACTTGCCTGCTGGTTGTGATCCCTGGGTATCAGGACTCCTGTGTCATCCCCATCCCCTCCCCCAAGCCACCTGTGAGGCATTTAGCTCGATCCAGCTCCCCCTGGTCCCCCAGCTCCCCCTGGTCCCCCGCCACCCGCAGCTGGTGTGTGGTAGTGTAGTGGTATTCTAGAGAAGCTGCGCCCTGATTGTCACTCATACCCACTCACCCTGGGCACCCACCCTGCCGTCCTGGCCTCTGTCTCACTTTTTCTTTGCCCCCTGGTGGTGAACCTGTTTGTGCATTTACACCAGAGCCAAGAGCACTTGGAGGGGGGCGCTCCACTGTCCAAACCCAGATTTTGAGCCCCTGCTCCTGCCATTCTCTTTCCTGGCTGGGGGTGGGGTGCTCTTTAACACTCCCCACTCTTAGATTAGCAGCAAGGGGTCCAGGGAGATGATGTTTTTGTCCTCCACCCACCCCCTCTGATCTTCAGTGCTTGTTCATCAGGAATTCAGTTCAACCCAACTGCGCCAGCAAGCGTGGCTTCTCCCTGTTATCCCGAAGTGTCCGCAGATACCCCACACCACCTTCCTAAGCTCACCCTAAACTCACACCTTTTCCTCCTCCCTCCCAGAACCCCCTTTTAGCACCCAGCATAACCTGCACAGCTGGGAGGACCCCAGACAGAGGTCCTGACTGGCTCCCTTGGTTGGCTGAGTCTCAGGCCATGCTTGGGCCCTGCCACAAGCACGCCCTCTGCGCAGAGGTTCCTGGTGCAGATGGGAGACCTTGCCCACCCCCAGTTACAAGTCTCAGAACTGTAGTCATCAAGGCATTTCTGCCTGCTCTGCCCACCAGTGCCCCTCCCTACCTCCGTGACGACCCCACATCGAGTGAGTGGGTCCTGGGCGGGAAGGTCGATGTCATTTACCATTTGCTGACTGGAGGCAACTGGCAGGGCTGCCAGTGCGTGTGGCTCTGAGCGCAGCTTGACCTTGAGCACTACTTCCCCTGTCACCCCCACAGCAGGAGGCGGATCTTGGGGCCTTTTCTAATCATGTGTTGGCACGGCAGCCCTGGCTGCTTCAGCTCAATTGATCCGCAGACCTTCAGTGGTCGAGAGGACCCCCTAAATTGGTCAGCCCCCCCCCACTTGTCTAAGGGAGCTGCTCAGTGACTCCCCAGGCTATCTGCCCCACCCCAGCTTCACCCCGCGCCAGCCAGTGTGACCTGACCCAGCCCGTGTGCAGAGCCCCTCCTGTCTGGCCCCTGTGGTTTACATGATGACCTTTGCTCTGTGGACAGGGGGGTCGGAAGCAGAGTTCTTTATCAGGAATCCTGCCGAGGTCCTCCTGTTCAAACATTCCTGTGTTGAATAAAGTGTGTTTGACTCTATCAGGGAGGCTGCCGTCTGCATGCCCACAGCGCCCGTGTCACTGAGCCCTCTTGAGCCCATCTAGTATCTTACCCCCCCACTCCCTTCGCCAGCATTGCTGCCTTTTTCTGTGATCAAAGGCCACAGCTGCGGTGGCCCTGGCCAGGCAGTTTGTGAAATTCTCACTTTATCTCAAGTTTCCCAGGGGCCTTCTCACTCCCCATCCACCCTGAGCCAAGGCAGCTTTGCAGACACCACCCATGTGGGGGAGGGGATTGGGGTCCCATCACCACCCCCTTTCCTGCACTGCACACCCAAACAGCTGGGGGAAGCAGGGGCCTGGGTGTCTGCCCACCCTTCTCTCCCTCTGCTATAAGCGTGCTCTCCAGGGCTCAGCTGCCTGGCTATTTTGAGCCCTGATTGCCTTTGGCCTTGGTATAGGTGGAACTCTGCCGGAGGGGGGGGGTGGGGGGGGTTCTTCAGGGCAGCTGGAGAATTCGAGGTGCTGAGGCAGGCAGCCCAAGGGCCAACAGGCTGTCCTGGCTGGCGGGGTGGGCAGGGAGGGTGCCTTCTCCCTCCTCACGGCCATGTAAGGCGACCACATTCTTTCTCAGCCCGCCCTCTCCATTCCTCCCTCCTCAAAGCTCCAGGGGAGGGGCTGCCCAGGAATGTGAGCACTAGGTTGACAACTACTGCTGCTCCAGGAGGGGCAGGAACACCCTGTTCATGCCATGCTCCTCAAACCCTCTCCTCCCAGACAAGCCACCTACCCTGGAACAGGCCTGGGCGCAACACCCAGCATCCACTCCTCAGAAAGTTGAGAGGGACCATTCAGGTAAATGAGCTCTTTTAACGTCTGCTCTGTTACTGACTCAAAGAGGGAGGGAAGCCTAGTGAGAATAGATACTTGGAATTAATGGAATAGAATTGAGAGTTCAGAAACAAACAGGTATAGTCAGCTGGTTTTCCACACAGAGACCAAGATAATTCAATGGATAAAGAACAGTCCTTTCAACAGCCTGTGTTAGTACAGCTGGATGAAAGTGAAAGTCGCTCAGTAGTGTCCGACTCTTTGCGACCCTCATGGACTCTATCTCCAGGCTAGAATACTATCCACACATGACAAATTTGGACTGTGACTCACCATATACAAAAATTAACTCAAAATGGATCATCAACCTAAATGTAAGAGAAATTTTAGAGGAAATCATAGGAGTACATCTTCCTGACCCTGGGTTAGGCAGTGGTTTTTAGAAATGGCATTAGAAGCACAAATGATAAAAAGAAGATAAAAGATAAGTTGGGTTTTAGCAAAAATTAAAAAAACATTTGTGCTTTGAAGGACAGGATCAAGGCAACCCTCATGCTGGGAGAAAATATTTGCAAAGCATATCTCTAATAAGGGACTTATATCTAGAATATATGTAGGACTTCCACAACTCTGTGATAGAGACAAAGACTCAGTCTTAAAAAAGTGCAAAGAATTTGAATACACATTTCTCCAAAGAAAACATGAGGCAAATAAGTCCATGAAGAGATACTTGACATAATAAGTCATTAGGAGAATGCAAATCAAAATCTCGAGGAGACCTCACACCCCCTAAAAAGGCTATAATTTTAAAAAGACAATTACAAGTGTTGACAAGGTTGTGGGGAAACTGAAAGCCCCATCCCCTGCTGGTGGAAACAAAATAGTGCAGCTGCCTTGGAAAGCAGCCTGGCAGTTTCTCAAAATGTTAAATGTAGGGTTAAGTTAGGACCCAGAAATTTGAGTTCTAGGTATCTACTCAAGGAAAGTTAAAAAATGTCTACACAGACCTGTGCACAAGCATTCATAGTGACATTATTCATAATAGCCCAAATGGAAATGATCCAAATGTTTATTAGCTGGTAAATAGATAAACAAAAGGTAGTATATCTCTCCAGTGGGTATTCTACAATAAAAAGGAATGACATTGATACATGCTACAGGAATGGACCTCAGAGTCAGACATAAGGCCACATAATGTATGACTCCATTTATGTGAAATGTCTAGAAAGAGCAAATCTACAGAGATGATGTAGATCGGTGGTTGCCCAGTATCCGCTGCTGGGTGGCATTGCAGGCAGGGTTTCTTTGGGGACGATGATGATATTTAGATTAGATTATGGTGACAGTTGCACAACTGTGGATATACTAAAAAAAAACACGAGTTTAAACTGATAAACTTCTTGAAAAGATCAATAAAGTGGGGCTAGGAAGTGGGAACTTCCCCAGGAAGAAATTCCCCCCAAAAGATCTGGGTCAGTGGGTCACTAGCTAAGGATTTAGGATCTAGTGCCCTTGGGCTGATCCCAGCCCAGCCAGTTAAAGATGGGACCAAATAGAACTGAACCCTGAGAGAGTGGGAATTCCCAGGAGCCCTGGGGTGGGGGTGGGGAACGGTGGCTCTGTTGTGCTTTTGTTGTTGTTGTCTCCTTTGGTCCCTTGGCTTATGGGGTCTTAGTCCTAACCATTGTACCCCAGGGAATTCCATTGCTCCTATTTTTAAGTCTAGACCTTTACCCTGATTCCCCTTCTTGTGGAATCCCTGGACCCCAGACATCTGCTGAGTGAGTCTGTGCCTGCATCAGGGAATGTCCTCTTGAGGTCCTAGAACAGTGTGGAGAGGGTGGCTTTGGGTCTGCTCGGTGTTATAAAGATAGGGGACAATTCCATCACCATCTTCAGGACCTGTCTCTTTTTCCTGTCCCTCAGCGAAGACCTGGGCAGGAAGGCACCTCTTTCTGCCCAGGAGCATGGGGTGGACAGGGAGTTGGAGCTCCTCTCTCCAGCCTTCCAAAGGCAAGGCCTAGGCATGGGCTGCTCCCTGGTGGCCAGACAGGGAAGGACTCATTCCTCCTTATAGGTAAGGCAGGTGGGATCCTAGTGGGGTTGTGACAGCTAGGGAACTGGCTTGGCAGGGCAGAGGGCCAAGCGATCTGGAGGGTGCACAGGCAAAGGGCAGGATGGCAGGAACGAAAGAGATAATACAGGAGTGGAGAGCATGGACAATTTGTTTCACACACAGTAATTGAAAAAAATGAAATGTATCATCTGGTAAAAGGATCAAACCATTCAGTTCATTCCAGTGAGTCAGCTCTTTGCAGCAGGTGGCCAAAGTATTCGAGTTTCAACTTCAGCATCAGTCTTTCCAATGAATATTCAGGACTGATTTCCTTTAGGATGGACTGCTTGGATCTCCTTGCAGTCCAAGGGACTCTCAAGAGTCTTCTCTAACACCACAGTTCAAAAGCATCAATTCTTCAGCACTCAGCTTTCTTTATAGTCCAACTCTCACATCCATACATGACTCCTGGAAAAACCATAGCTTTGAATAGACGGACCTTTGTTGGCAAAGTAATGTCTCTGCTTCTTAATATGCTGTCTAGGTTGGTCATAACTTTTCTTCCAAGGAGCAAGCATGGCTGCAATCACTACCTGAAGTGATTTTGGAGCCCCCAAAAATAAAGTCTGTCACTGTTTCCATTGTTTCCCCAGTAGCATAAGCCCTCTTGGAGGAGGTTGCCATTAACCCCACCATAGAGCTGCCAGAACTTAA